GGGGCTGTTAAGTCGCGAATTCAATGAAGGTGGCCAACAAGTTAATTCTTTCATTCGCAAAGTACGACTCTCTGCAGCTGAGATTCGTAAGTTCGGGAAACATGCTGCTTACCTTGCCGCGATTAATTAGTTCTCTTAAAGTGTATTTTGCGCTCGGAGCCAAAGCTCAAAAGTGGAAATGTTAAACAGTGCAATAGGGTGGCTTGCGGATTCGCGCATCTAGTGATTTTATTGATTATTCGTTATTGTTCATGCACACAAGCAGCTGGTCTTATTCCAAGGTATTATTTTCAGTTTTATTTCTACAGTCCGGAGCTAGGAACAAACACCGTTAAAGAGTTGCACCCAAATGTAACATATAAGGCATGTCTTAAAAATCGGCTAAGCCAACAAAGTGTGTGTGTGATGCTCTAAAATGTGTAAAGTATATGACGAAAGATGTATTTCTCTTTACAGGCAGAAATTTTAAGCTCAAGTGATGTGAGATCTTGACTTTTCTAATTTGACGATATTAACTTAGCCAATTTTTATGGATAGAAGCAAAGTTCAACGCACTGAAGGAACGAAAGAAACGTTTCTACAGATCTACTAATTCTTGGCACGATGCATAGACTTTGTGTGATACGTACTACGTCAGAAACTGTTTAGAGATAAATCCGAAAGGCATTGCTCACATCTAAAATACGTACGGAATTTCACAGGCTGGGCTCTTAAATTAAAACAACAAATCATTGCAGGTAGTTTTTTTTTTTTTTTACGTAATTCATCTTTCGATCCCCGTCGATTTCAAACAAAATCACATGAAAGCCAAATTCATTGTAGCAGAAGCAGCCGATCAGGCAGATAACGTTTTTTCCTATTCTTAGCAACTGTCGAGACCAAGAACGTAACAGAGAGATTGCACGCACGGTAATAGTTGCTCCTTGACGAGCCTGGGATCTCAGGTAGAAAAAAAGGGGGGACCAAACCCAATCGGAGTTAACAGTTAGGATCCTACTGGAAGCATGCAAGGATCGTTTTTTTTTACGCTCGGCCATCGGGCACACCATACAATGCTCTTCATATCAGATGTGGCAGTGGTAATGGCGGCAATTGCGAATGTGATCTGTCATATTTTTTATTATCGAACGAAGGCATCGAACGCTCAAACCTCCTACGCAGGTGGGCACCGTATGTTCTGACCGCTGACAATCCGGCAAGTGAATAAAAAAAAAAAAGAAAAGATTGCATTACCACAGAGACCGAGCGTAAAAATTTAGCAAAACGAAAAAACAAAATCCAATGTGTCCAACTGAAAAGGTTTTATTGAAAAAATTTCTATTTCTAAAATACAAGTGTGTGCGTGTGACTCCGTGTGTTGAATGTGATGTGTGCAAAAAATCTTTGCTCTCGAGAAAACGTTGGAGGGTCTTTTTCTCTTTTTTTGGCGTAACAGAATAATACAGAAACGAATAGTTCGCCGAGGGTCTTGTCTTCGATAAATTTGCAATCGATCTAAATGCACGTAAGACAACAAAGTAAGAGGGCTACGTTAACAAATATATACTTTCTCTCTCCCTAGCTCTCTCTCTCTCCTCTCTTTCTCTCTCTTTCTCTCTCTATATATATATATATCTATACAATATATATGACATATATATGATGTAATTTTGATTTCGTTTCATCGTTCAAAGTATGACTATGCAGACGTACAACCTGACAACGCTCCAATGTGAAAACAGCACCGTTGAGGTTGAACTTTGCGACAGTGGCCGAAGCGTGTGACTCTAATTTTTTTCGCGGTAGTAGTGTTAGATCTGCTTGTTAGAAATGTTATGTCTTCCAGATAATATCAGAAAAGAACCAACACCAGAAAGACTGCGTATATGTATATATATATGTGTATATATAATATAAATTTTTTTTTTTTACGATTTCATTAGATTTTAGAGCTTACTCGGAGACTACGAGTATCACATCAACTTAAATTAGGATAAATAATTCGTAAATTACGAAGCGCGTCGGTATAAAAAAAAAAGAAGGAGACAAGTCCATGCCCTCTGCATAAACTGCATTTAAGAGTCGATGCGTCGCGCGCTTAAATATACTTTAGATTCCATCCTTTCGAGGCAACTGGAGGCATGCCCGCATGTGCAGCGGCCTGCACGCGCGCGTTTCTTTTTTCATCGTCGTTCTACGATTAAACTTAAATTTCTAATCTGGTCCCTCACCGAATTTCTCATCCGAATCACTTTGCGGGTCAGAATAAGTTTCATCAAATCCATCCCGGTAAAATGGTGCAGCACTTCGGTACACTACGATGAACGACAGTAAAGCAGAAGCGAGAGTGTTCGCCGGACGTCCACAAAGTCCGTGTACAGATCGTTCGAAATCAATCTAATCGTGTCATCGTCAAACGACTGGCGAAACGACTGGAGAACCGATCGATGTGCACATGCATTATCACTACGTGATCGACAACTAAGCGGTAGACTACGTGATAAGGCAAAAAAAAAACGTTTAGTTACGAAAGTAAAAAGACATTGCCTATATTTGAGATCTTCGCCTTAGCTTCTACAGCACGCAATGTGAACCGTCTTACGGCGAAATTAAAACAGACAGGGAAGAACGTGGCGGATAAAAGGGAGAAGAAAAAAAAAAATAGAAGAGGATCATCAGCGAAATACGTAACAACCGTTGCGTGAGAAAACTTACGGGTGTGGTAGATGCTTTCCTCTGAGAGGCCTGCGATAGAATAGAAACACACGATCAGTACGAGGTCATTCAGAAAAGTACCATGTAGGGCGAACATGTAGTGCAGTGAAAAAGGAGGCATGCCGTCGAAATGCGATTTCGAGCTGCGCGCTCTACTCGCGTCCTTGGAATACAGGGTATTCGGCTGCACTTTCTTACGACAATAAAACACTCTATGCGTGCGTATTCTACGGAGAGCTTCAACTCGAAAAATTTACATGCGTACTCTAAAGAGAGAAATTGAACTCGAAATTTACATGCGTATGCTAAAAAAAAAAAAAAGGAAACAGAGAGATTTAATTCGAGCTTGAACGCGCGCTCAACTCGACGTTCAGCGCAGTCAAGTACATCCGTCAGTTAAAAACGCTCATTTCCGGCGAGAAGAGACAGGCGGCAGGAACACCCTGTATACAGTGTCGCGGGGAGTACATCCGTCTCGTCGAAGCGCGGTCAATTACTTATCGCCCGTTCTCGGGAATTGTTCAGCAGCGTAACTCTTAGACGCGACGTCGATGTCTTCGGGAGTCGAGCGACAGAGACTGGCGTGATCCGGCGGGAAGGACGCCGGTAGACTTCTCTTTGGACTGTAATTGGCGCGCGGGCTCTGATGTTCGCCTGCGTCTTGGAGACAACCGGGCGACGTTTGTGCAACGCCGCCGCCGCCGCCGCCGCCGCCGCCGCCGCCGCCGTCGCCGCCGTCGCAGCTGCGCAAGTACTCGTTACTCCTGGACTTGTAGTGCAAAAGGGAATTCATCTCGATGCCGTGATCTAAGCGATACGCGGCGATCGGTTTCGCGATTTCCGGCTCGAGAGCGATCGGCGATCTTTTGTGCCTGGAGCCTGGCGTCTCGTGATACGGCCCTAACGAGCTCTTGGATCTGGAGCTGTCGTTCGAGTGCTCCGAGTCGAAGTTGCAGAGCTCTGACTCGAGGCTCTCGAAGTCGATGCCCTCGCGCGAGTTCGCCGCGAGGAATCTGGGCACCGTGGCGCCGGCATTGCCGACCTGATCGCTCGAGTCGCGACGGCTCAGTTGCGGTATGGATATCACGTTCTCCAGAACACTGTACTCCACTTTGACCGTGGCGCTCTTGTCGTCGAGGGCGTCCCGGCTGCCCCACGTTCTCATCTTGTTCAGCACCCTGAGCGGGCTCTTGGACATGCGCGACTTGTGCTGGGACTGCTGGCTCTTGCCGCCGATGGAATTCTCGGGGCTCGACTCGAGACCGTCGTGATCGTTAATTTTGATGGTGACCGAGTTCTTTCTCTCGCCGATGCGCGGCGAGTTCAACGAGCTCTTACGCGAGCCGGTCGGCGACCGGAAGAAATCGGCGAGGGACGCCAGCCGCGACTCCGAGCTGTCCCGGCGCTTCGACTCCTTCGACTTGCTCCTATCGCGCTTCTTACTCTTCACCCGCTTCGCGGTGCCCACCAACGTGGACGCTACGTTCTGCACGAAATTCGTCGAGTACGAGTGCTCCCATTCGGGCGGCTTTTGGCACTTGGGCGACGTGGCTTTTGGCACGGCGGCGGCCGCACGGTGACCCACGCTTTTCACGGGATAATCGTCGTTGATTATCGACGGCTCTTCCGAGAAATGGGCCTTAAGATTGTTCGGGGGATTGTGTTTGTTATGCAGAACCACGGACTCGTATATGTCGTTGTCCATGACAAAGTCCTCGCCCATGTCGAGCGAGTTTTGCGGCATATCGTTATAGCTACTACATCCCGGCTGATTGTCTATCAGGTTATTCGCCGAGGAGTACAATTTTCTGTTCGTAGGGTTACCTATTTCCTGCAGAAGCGGGGAGCGGTGTGCGCTCGCCAACAGGGCTGTACGCAGAGGTGTCTTTTCGAGATCTGGCGCAGAACGGGACCAGCGTTTGCCGCCAGGCGAGGCGGGATTCGGCGGTTGCGTGATAATAGCCCCGCGCTCACGTTGATGTAGCGTCGACGGTCCCCAAGTCTTACCCTTAACTCCGTCCGCTGGTACTAAACGGGGAAAGAAAAACAAACAAAGTGCTACTCACTACGATACTAACTACTCGTCTCCTCTCTCCGCTTCGCTTACTCCGCTTCGCTTACTAAGCTTCTTTACGGATATACTCTTTCAAAAGCGACTGTATATGTCAAACGTTTTAACTGTGCACGCTAATTTCAGCAATTGACATACTATAATAATAATAATAATAGTAATAATAATAATAATAATAATAATACATTGTAGCTCAAACTATATAATCGTGATTTTTGCGAGAGAAGAAAGTAAAAATGAAAAAAAAAAAAAGTATTTATATGTAGAAACAATAATTGTGCACACCATGCCGAAAAAAGTATTGACACGAATAAAAATACAAAGTGTCTACCACGAACAAACAGTGTAACACTCAAATTGTCCGATTACATTTCTAATACGTCTTGATTTGCTCGTAAAATCACTCATATCGCACAATACATCGTCATGATCACGGTACTACTGGAAGCGTATTTCAAAGTAAAAAAGAGAAAAGGAGAGACTGAAAGCTACTTACATGCAATCGCTCTGAGTCTCGGAATGCTAGGCGAACCTGGTGGACTGTTGGGTCTCGACGGGTTCCTCGCCTTGCCTCGATCTAACGCCGCGTGCTGAACGGTAATTGTGTGGCGAAAATCTAAACATTCCCGTTACGTGTATTAATATTAATATAATTATTCCTCTAATTTTTTTTTTTTTTAATTCAAAATAATCTATTTACGAGTGAATAAAGTTGACAAGAGACTTTTGATTTGCAGTTAAAGTTGCGAAATGATAAAAGTATGGGGAAGATAAATGATGCTCTCACCCGAAGGTGCGCTAATATTGCTCCCGGGTTCCTTCTTGTTGAACTTTAACCGCGATTTCTTAAATTTGCCACGCCTCTTGTTCGGCGTGGGCGTGTTTTGCTGTTGAATTATCATTACGGTGAGTTCTCTCTCCAAGAGATCTATTTCACGCGCGGCCAACTCCTGTTCCCGTTGCCTTAAATTTTCTTCGTGCTGTCTCTGTTGCACCTGGGCCTTCGTTAGTTCCTCTTCTCTACAGCGCAACTCCTTGCAAGAAGAATTAAGAATGTCAGAAAAAAAACTGATGCGCTTAGAGTACCGTAATTATACGCAATTTTTAGACTTTTATCACATTTAGAATAAAAAAATGAAAGAAATAAGTACATAATTATTTCTCTAACAACAATTAATCAATCTTTTTGCTTTGTCTTACCTCTTCTAAAGAACGGCATGCCTTTGTAAAGCATTCAAAATAACGATTGCAAATATTATTCATTTTATCACGCATATGTATACATGTTACAAAATTCATAATTAACACTTGAAAATTGCACGACGTTAATCGAACGATTTGAATGTAGAAATATTATACGTGTATACCTTTTCCTTCATGCGCAATCCGTGCAGAACTTGTTCGATCTCCAGCCTCCAATCTTCCTGCATCGTGTGAAAAGACTCGTGTGGTGTTGCCGCGAATGCGTTACGCACCTCGTCCAAAGCTATTAAAATGTCCGTGAATCCAGGTCGAGCATGGCTGTCCGATGCCCAGCACTCTGTATAATACAAGCGCTTTTAATCATCCTTATGCTTAAGCAAATAAGCTTTCTCTCGTATTACTAATCTCTTACCTTCCATGAGGACCCGCCAAGGTTGTGGACAAGTAGATGGTATAGGTAGGGTCAACTTGTTGACCGCAACACCGTACGCTACAGCTAGAGCATCGATACCCTTGTATGGTGTCTCGCCCGTCAGAAGTTCCCACAGCAATACGCCGTAGCTGATAAACATTTAAGATACTTTGGCGACAAGCAAAGCGTAGTTAAATAAACGACTGAATTGAAATCAATTGATTTTAACGATTGGACGAAAAGCAAAACATAGTTGAGTCAAAAATCAAGTAGAGGAGAGAGATATCGTTTTTGTTCTGTATTTATGCAAAATAATGCAAGTGTAGACTGACCTCCATACATCACTGGCTTTGCTGAAGGTGCTCTTCTTAATGACTTCTGGCGCCATCCAGGCGTATGTACCCGCTGCTGACATACGAGTTGTTTTGTAGACTTCCCTGGCCAATCCGAAGTCCGTGATCTTCAGAGTTTTGTATTCGAAGTCGTCGTTCTCAATCGGCTCGCTTAGTAGCACTGTCGACGTGAAAATTGATTTAGAACAAAGGTGGCCACTTGTTGTCGCTTTTCCTATTTCACTCAAGATACTGGATACGATTTTAAATTCAATTGCAATAATTGCAAATTAAGGCAAAGATTTTTTTATTACAAATTTGTGTTTTGTAATCGATTTGTGTTTCTTTGCTGGAAAGCATTAATATCTTACCGTTGGAACTTTTTAGATCCCTATGGATGAGACTTATGGGAGCTTTGTTGTGGAGATAATCCATTCCCCTCGCGATCTGTATCGCCCAATCGACTAACACGTCGGGCCTTATTTTTCTGCCGCTAAGGACTCTATTAAGACTACCGCCGCGAGCGTATTCCATCACGAGACACATATTGGGCATTTTTAAACACACTCCCTCTAACTGCACAATATTATCGTGTTTCAACAACCAGAACAGTTTCGCCTCCTGCCGCACATTTTCTAACGTTACACTGGGTTCCTCGCCTGCATCTTGGCGCGCGGCTTTCACGGCTACCTCGTGTTTGTTCCAAAAGCCCCTAAAAGACAAGTCAAATTGTGAAAAAAAACGATGTGTATTGTCAAAATTTTTTTAGTATATATTTCATATTTGATTAAATTTTTTTTTTATTTTGGGCAAACTAGTTTGCACACCTGTACACTTTCCCGAATCCTCCAACTCCTATAACTTCTTCCAATTGCAACTCCTCAAAGTCGATTTCAACAGGGTGGACTTTATCGATCACCGACGACACCTCATCGATACTTTCTGTCTCTGCGACAAAATTCGCCGGAAAGATTCCCACTTTCCCGTGAATTTTGCCAGTCCACCATCCCTCGTCGCCCGAGATCTTCGCGTCCTTAGATAAAACCTATTGTAAAAGAGAAGCAATAACTGTGTCAGAGTCTCGAAGCTTTATAAAACAATAATTACATGATATTATATGTATTTGAAAATAAACCTCACCTCCACAGTCTCTCCTCTTTGCAATGATAACTCATCTTCGCCCTGAGCAACATAATCAAAGAGTGCTGTGAAGATAGTGGTGCTATTGTCCTGTCGCGACTGGGAAGAGGAATGTGTGCCGTGGGATGGACTAGTCTGTTGAGAGACTGTTCTCGCAGTTCCGCCACTATGCGTATCGGAAACGCTGCTATCAGACATATTGTTGCTAGATGTACGTCCATATAGTCCGTACCCGTAACTGCAAGCAAAGGGGTTTCACACATGAAGCATTAAGATACAACGTTTATCAAGCTCCAGCATTCTTTCGATGCAATCTTTTACCTAGTATGATTATTGGTTCTGCTATTGTGCTGATACCGTGGCGATGAATTGGCCGTGTTGGGATGTGAGGAGCCATTCTCTGGATAGAGTAGGAAACGCTCGCTCCGATGACGAGCGTCCGGTTGTCCGTGGTCCATCAAGGTAGACAAGCCTCTCGCCGATAGCCCGGCTGGCGGCATATGGCTCAGCACTCTCCTTACTCCGCTCTTCTAGTAGCCGTAAATCACACCCTTTCCTTCCCGCCCCACGCGTGACGACACCTTGTCACTATGTTCACACCAGCTTGTTCATGAAGGATACAAAAGCACAATTTCTCTTTCTCTCTCACACGCTCTGTTTACTGCTTTTTGCAGACGAGTGTAAGAACACATCAGAACTGTCGCGGTGTTATCGTTTCGCCACGAGACGCATCCTCGACAACGCGCGGCTCAGCGATCCGGAACATCATCGCACGGCGCTCACACCGGACCCACGACGCCACGGATATTCCCCACAGTCAGCTGTAAGTACCTTGTACGGATACTTGAGATCGGATAACGCCGCGTCGTTACTGTCACCGCGCCGCTGTCCATCGGAGATCGGAAAAGTGTTTTCGCGACGGCGGGCGCGGGGCAAAAGAAGGCGAGAAGAAAAAGGAAGAGAATCCCGCTTGCTACCACCCCGTGCACAGAAACGATCTCATCACGGGGGGACCGGCATTCTGAGGCGCGTGTCCGCGTGCGGCGGCGCACGGGGGCCCCGTGCGCCCTCCTCTCTCTCTCCTGGGGGGTCGGTTGCTGGCCTGGCGATCGGGTCGCGAAACGGAATCCGGCCAGGTGCGCAGAAGGTGACCGGAGTCGCGACGGAGACGCTCGCTCGGTGTGAAATGCGAATTCGTCTCAAGGCAGGTATCAGGCGTCAGGGTGTGTATACCTACAAGCCCACTCTTATGTGTTGACGGGGGGGCCGTGTCTCTCGGTCCTCGCTCGGCCGCGGGGTCGTTCCCACTGGGCAGCCGACCTCGAGGTCGCGCAGGGATTCAAGCGGGCGCGCTCGTCGGTCCCGTGGACACGACGCTACGCGTCAGTCCGCAGTACGCGCGACAATGCCACACAATAGAAAACGGAGCAGCACTCATAGTAATAACCTCGCGGACGCCATGTTTCGCACGACCCGCCATCGACGTGCGATTTTCTAGATAGTCGTCGTATCACTGGATCTGTCCCTCGTCCAAAAGTACCATCTGTCACCAATACCGTTAACTACTTCGTAAAAATCATGTGATTATTTTGGCGGGCGATTTAAGGAGCTCCGTGAAGTCATCGAGCTTGTAATGTTATGTGCGGATTTTGATATAAATATGCAAGTAAATTAATTGTACACAACATTTGAATGTATCTTCATATGCCACTTTGTGCTAGTTTTAAATTAAAAAATTATAGCTTTCTATTCCTATTGTAATTATATTAAATCACATATTTACAGAGATATTTTTATATTGTGTACAGAATTAAATTTTAACTATCTTCAGGATCAGGTTCAATTCTACATATTACAGAGATGCGTCTGCTTTTTGGTACATGTTGCCCCTCGAAGTATGATTCCTCAGACTTGAGGATTTCGTGATTGTACTTGTACCTTGCAACACCACTAAAAATACATATGCATTTATGAGTTTTTGATAGTAAAATCGGATCAATTGTACTAAAAATAGATCAATTAAAAACCTCATAATGTATAACGATCTTCTAGGTAGCAGGAAGCAGTCATTACATTCTTTCTCACATCCTTCCATCGCTAATCTCATTACACTGTCAGTTAGCAAACTTAATCCTGCAATAATGCCTCCGCAGAACTGCAAAACATTTCAAAAGTATATGAAATTGTTTTAAATAGAATGCGCTTTCAAATGCCTATAAAAGTAATATTCTATTACCCTAACACTGTCGATATGTGGCTTTATCCATCCTTCAGGAGCTAAATCTAATATATGCACAAGTGAGAGCTGTGTCATTTCTGATGAGAATGCTTTTCTGCGAACTCTGTCAAGAATCTGCGAGCTATCTTGGCTCCATTTTTTCCACTCTGTTTCTCTGTAACCATGTATCGCCTAGAAGAAGATCAAGATACTGACATTCAGAAAATAGCTACAATGTAGTGTCAATATAATATTTTACTAACATTGTCCCAATGTGAATACTCATAACGTAATCTTTTCATATAGGGATCAATTTCTTGCACCAAGCTATCTTCCTCCGTTTCGCTGATAAAATTTGGATAAACTTTCATAGTGTTGTGTAATTCTAATTTCCAATCGTTCGCACTTTTATTTACTTCTTTCATATCCGAATTAGAATTAACATGTCTGTAGCTGGAGTGACAAAAAGCTCTGTTTATGTTGTGAAATAATAAACGCAAAGTTATTGCCATTTCCCAAATCAATAAATTTTTACTAATAATAATCGAGAAATTATATAAAATTGAGATTATAAGAATTAAACATTTATTTCGAAAGCTTTTATATTTTGTGCTTTAAACAAATCAAGTAGTATTTATAAAGCTGTCACTTTAATACACATATATTAGACATAGATTCAAAAAGAATTATTTTTTTAAAATTGCAGATTTAATTATCAATTCTTATTATAAAACTGATACAAGCAGAGAAATTTAAGATAAACACAAGCTATCTCTGACTAATGTACATAGGTTATGTTATAAATTTTAGCCATAAGGAAACACTGGCTTGAAGACTTGACTTTTGTTCCTCCAAAACTGAAGGAATGTAATCTCTAATAAAAAATTGAAACGTAAACTAAAATTTGAGAAAAATATTAGATATATAAATATCTTATTTATAACAAAAATTTGTTTATTCTTTTAAAAAAGTTGCAAGCATTATATAATGTATTGTTAGTAAAGTATATATTTTTCTTTAAATATATTTTTTTACAAGTGAAAATATAATTGAAACAAAAAGATATTTTTTTCTCTAACAAATGATATAAGTTGGGATATCAGTTATGGGGAGAAATCACAATGAAAGAATAATTTATAATCAACCTTTATTTAGGAATATACTCTTTTCAAAACCAACTTGTAATCGATCTTCAATAAAGGTATGTGTGTATGCATATGTATATATAAGCTGTGTTATATAAAACTTCCATAATGTAATTACAGGATTCAATTACAGGATCTGCATAATTAATGCAGCTATATATAAAGACTGGAAAGTTTTTTCTTTTAACAGTTGAGGATACGATTACAACCCAAAAAATGTATTAATGTAGTTTCACCCTCCTCTATCCTCCTCGATAGATGCACAATTGATGAACTAGGATCGTACGAATATCATACGATAGTTTTTCGCGACGTTTTTAAGTTGGAATCTGTACTGATGTTAATTATTAACTGAAAAATTGAATAACGGTAGACGCGCGGATAAAAATCCGATAAAACTCAACAATGTAAGTCATGTACACTCAGAACAAGCGTTCTGGATAATTGTGTGAGTACTATATTGCCACAATAGTTATTGAAAAGTGCTTGTTTGTAAGCATTCTCGCCCTGATAATATTATGATGCTAGCTTTCACTTTTCTATTTCTTCATTCTGTTTTTACGTGTATGAACAATACCATGGATTATAGATTAAATCATTGTACATTTTGGTTACGATTCAATATGCAGAAAATACAAATATAAAATCTCTGTATAAATCTGCAAATTAACGTTCTGCGTGTATTTAGGCGACTAGAATGTATGAATGTGTGAAAAGTCGCTACATAAAATCATCATATTCGTCATATACATAATCACCGTATTCACTCAATAAGGTGTTATCACCCTCGATTTTGAGCTTGGCCTTTCCTTTACCCTTGCTCTTTTTCGCTTTCTCGCCTTTTTCTATCTTTTGCTTCTCAATAAGCAAGTTGTCGACTATAGTTTTCACTTTTTTCAAGTGATTTGATGATACTGGAACAAAGAAACAGTACTAAATTTATGAAAAATGCTCGCATTATAGCTCACTGATAGAAATAATATTGCTATTCAAATTAAAATATCGATTAAAATATCAATTGTTAATATACTAACGATTAAGAGCGATGGATTTTATAAGCTCTTCCGCAAGTGTTGGGTACTCCGCATGTTTATTAAATTGATTAATTTTTTGTAAAAGTGCTGTACCAAATTGCTCAAACTCCTCCTTTGTATCGGGCACCATGGCATCGAGCGATTCACTCTGTACTTCTGTTACACCTGTTACACCTGTATCACCTGTAATATAAAATTATTAAGTATGTTAAAATCTTTCTAAAAGATATAACGTATAGGAATATTTTTTAATAATGTTTTTAGTTTCATGACGTTAACAGATTTTAAATCTATTATATCAATATTAATTTATGAGCAATCATCAAGAAGCTGCATATTGAATGTGTAATAGAGTTAATAAAATTTTCTGCAAAGAGAAATATTTTTTATTGAAATTATAATTTCGAATCTTTATAAAATTATATTCAATAAATTTCATACATTCGATATTTTGCATTACACATATACATAAAAGAGTTGATCAGGAACGGTGCAGGAGACAGATAACAGATAAAAGATAAGGTTACAAAAACTAATGCAAACACAACAATTTGCATAGAATAGCAACTTTTATTAAAAATACAACAACATCGATAATAAAGTTAAATGTAGAGCTTGTAATAGTTTTAAATGCTTGTATATGTTCTCTTTCTCTCTGTCTGTCCCTGTCTGATAAAGTTCCTGTCATAAATCAATTATAAATCTACTGTGGCTATAGTAATTATAATTATGTAAAGCTATTGCGCCACGATCTTAAATTAAATTTTAATAAAAATATCAAGAAAGACATATATGTATATGTTTCATGCTTTTTCTTCCCCATCTTGCATTTACGATTTTTACAATATTTCTCTTTATAATACTGTACAATTCATATATGCACATAATTTATGTATATTATTGCCAAAACACAAATAAGTATTATTAATAATTAGTTTTATTAATATTTGTTAATTTTTCAGTTATCACACTTGTATAAAAATAATAGCTATCATCATAGCTGTAAAGCAAAGATTTTTATATACTGTCTCATGCATGTTTAAAAAAAAAGTATTTTTTAATTAAATAATATGGTTTTTTAATTAAATAATATGACGTTCGTACATGATATATGCTTATGCCCAAAATAAATCTAGGTTATGCTTTATCAATATTGAAAAATACTTTTCAAAATGTACCTGTTAAATTAAGTTCTAAATCTAATCACTAATGTAATATTTGGGGGAAAAAAAAAAAAATTAAAACTTTTAAATATTAGATAAAAATTATTTATATTAAAAATAGAGAATTATCAAAATAGAACAATCAAATTGCTCATGAAAAAAAAAATCATTTCTTGTCTCTTTTATGTGGTTTACGATCACTAAAATCTACTAGATTCGACAAACCAAAAGTCTCCATTGCCAGCCGTAAATCCGCCTCCTCTTGCAACCTCTGGCGCCTTAATAATTCAGCTCGCCTTTCTTCTGGTGCTAGTGCTTCCTCCTTTTCTTTTGCTTTTCTTTCAGCCTCCTCCCTTGCCTTTTTCTGAAACGCATTTATTTTAATAAATAAATTGCAAAATATACATTTTTATAACTTAAAATAATTCAAACTAACTTCACGTTCCTCGATTCTTTCAGCCAGTGCTTTTTTAGGTTTTGGCTTTGCTTTTGGTGCTTCTGCTGGTTTCTCTACATCCTTTTTTTCCTCTTCTACATCTTCCCAACTGTCCTGTTAAATTTTTTTATTTAAGATAAATAAAAAAATCAATTACACTCTTCTGTTTCTATCAATGAGCATAAAAAAAGCCTTCATGATACAAAAATCAGATCAAATAAAATCTATGTTTATACATACATATACATATTTTTGGTGTGATAAATTTATTCTTAAAATTATGCCTGCTAATGATAAAACAGTCTACATATTTTATTTATTCATTAAACAAAAAAATACATACTTTTTATAAAAATAATATAGTTGGTACAATCAATTATATATACAAGAAAAATAATTAACAATTCATGAACAAATCTTTTATCTTTCTATCAGTGTCTTTAAATATATTTTAACATTAAACATAAGTACTATATATATGTATATATTATTTCTCATTTGTTCTTCTTTTTGCAACTGCATATCAGCTTATAAAGTATGTTTATTGCACTAATAGTGCAATTGCAAACAAAAGTAGAAAACATTTTTAAGAGACAGGTGGGTGATTAATGTGACAAAAGGTACGATATGGGACATGTGTTTCTTGTAGGTTAGGTGCGGAATCGCACGCGGAATTTGCGAGAAAGTCGAGCAATGCGCAGGGCACGCGCAAAGAAAAATCATTTTACCTTAACTTCCTCTTCTTCGTCCTCGCCCTCCCATTTGTTCGACCGCATCGCGAGATCGAATTTCGCATCGGCATTTTCTACATCTGCAAGAGCGCAAGTGGTGAAGGTTAAAATTAGGCTCACCTTGAGAAAATCACTCATTTCCAGAAACTACGCGTGGTTTATTAAATCGTTGATGCTCGCTACGTACCCCATTCTTCATCCATGGCTCTCGGTGATTATTTATCAAACGCGGGACCTATGGATAAACGAAAAATCTGCCGCACAAACGTGGAAACGCGAAATACAACCGGAATCATGCGAGCCATACTGTACCAAAGGAAGCGTGCCAGAGTTGTCCCACCGCTCGTCGTGGAAAAGTCGGCTGCGCAAGCGCGACGAACGATCGAGAAACAAGAGAACGATTTCTCCTGCATTTTTTTCGCCTTTTTTTAGTTTATTTTGCAAGGAGTGGCGAGCAACAGTGAATATAAACAAAATCAGGGACTTTCAATTTCAATATCGCCATTGCATTTTATCCAATATTCTGCAATTTTGTGTTGCTTTAAAATACGGATAATAAAACGAGCTATACAATAAAACTTTTGAACAAGGTTAGATATGAGGAAATCATATCTATCTATTATAGAAATTGTGGACAATATTTTATAAACAAGTACTGCATTTTAATTAATCAATTAATTAATTTCTTCTTTAACTTGCATAGCGTGTTTAAAAATTTGCGCTTCGATATTTTCGATTAATTGAATCGGATACATGTTTTTTGTATCGATCACTCGATTGGTTCGATTAATGAATCGATTGCTATCTCGTTATGCACTTTATTTTTTTTTTACGATTCACTTCGCGTCGGACTGTCGAACATTTGTGGTGTTGATGTTTTGATCCGAACGAATAGTTTGTAAATTTAATATATCGTTAATTATAACTTATTCGCACGCAAACTCAGAATCATTATTAAAAGCAATTGGCGTATATTATGATTTGATAGTTTTTGCGTTCGCTTTATGTAACAATGGATATACCAACTTCAACTAGCCTGAATCATAGTGGACTCACGCACAATACAGATGGATTCTTAGGCATTCCTATTGAATCGTCAACTCTGGATGCTCTGGCAACCAAACGAAGAAGGTTAATATCAAAAAGCTTGTATATTATATAAAAATTTTCTTGAGACATAATACTACATTAACCAAATTATTATGATTTTATTATTAATATTTTTATTTCATTTCCAGCTCCTCACGCACAATAAAACGCAAGAAGTTTGATGATGAAGTGGTGGAAACAACGTTTAACCTACAGCCACCAGCCACAAGTGCAAAGTCGACATCAAAATCGCGAACAGTTTCTGTATCTGCCGGTCCTATGGATGTTTTGCCAACACAAACTTTACCTACGCCAATACCAATTCCAACCACCTTAGCACAATCTGATAGATGCAATCGGAGACCCACTAGACCGAGTGGTTCAAATCCTGGACGAAAAAACAAAAAGAGTAAAAATCACTCGCATTCCATAAATGCCACTAAAGATCTTGGGCGATGGAAACCCGCAGATGACTTGGCATTGATTACTGGTGTACAGCAAACAAATGATCTGAGAATGGTATGTATTCAATTAATTTTTCCATTAATTCTATTGTTTTTTATGATGAAGGAGAAAATATAATTAATTATATTTTATGATTTTGTTCATTTGTGATATTTTGGCATTTTGTTATAAGGTTCATCGAGGTACAAAATTTTCCTGTCGCTTTACATTGCAAGAAATACAACAAAGATGGTATGCACTGTTATATGACAGTGCAGTTTCTCGTGTGGCTGTGCAAGCTATGCGCAACTTACATCCTGAATTAATTGCCAGTATACAGGCAAGAACGTTGTATAGCAAAGCTGAGGAGGATCTGTTAGGCACTGTTAAATCAGTGAGTATTCACAGCTTATTAAATAAAAAATGTTTTTGACAAATAAATTAATTTTGTTAAATATACTACCGATTTTTAGTCTTTAAATGCTATTCGAACACAATATCGTAGATAGATAATTGTTTGCTTTGTCTCATCAGACTTCTCAACAAACATTGGAAGTATTTCAAGAATTGCTTGAAGCAAATGCACATACGTTTTATCCAGCTAGGACTGCGAAAGCATTGCACAGTCATTGGCAGCTTATGAAACAATATCACCTATTGCCAGATCAGACAGTGCAGTGCTTGCCTCGTGGTGAACATGTATTGAACTTCTCTGATGCTGAAGATATGATCAACGATAATGAATTAATGGAACCAAAGGACGAATTGGTAGATTCTGAACTGGCAATGGCTGACAGAAAGAATAAAAAAGAAATTAAAATATTGGAAAACGAGCTTGGCAGATGGCAAGTACTTGTTGACAATGTAATTGGCAGCAATCCGCCAGATTTTGATAATCAGACCTTAGCTATTCTCAGAGGCAGACTTGTCAGGTATCTCATGAGATCTAGAGAGGTAAGAAATATGAAATAACGATTTCCATATTCGCGTTTTATTTATATACAATATATATTGTTGTTTTATTTAAAAAAATTTAAATTTTGTAATGCTGTTCCGTATTTCTGTTCAGATTAGTGTAGGACGTTCCACAAAAGATCACACTGTCGATGTGGATCTTAGCTTAGAAGGTCCAGCTTGGAAAGTTTCGCGTCGACAAGGTACCATTCGTTTAAGAAATAATGGAGATTTCTTTCTGTCATCCGAAGGAAAGCGGCCAATTTTTGTGGATAGCAGACCAATTCTGGCTGGCAATAAAATGAAACTGAATAACAATAGTGTGATTGAGGTAACTGTTAATCATGTGAAAATGTAAAATGAAGTTAATTCGTAATTTTTTTTCCAACATGACTTTTACTTTTGAAATTATTCGCTTTGTAAGTGAAATTGCTATATAATTGAATATTTTTTGCACAGGTTGCAGGATTAAGATTCATATTTTTAATAAATCAAGAACTCATCTCTGTGATACGGCAAGAAGCTGTTAAATTGAATTTAAATCCTTGAAGCATTTTGAAAAACAATGGACAATATCAAGTATTGTGGTTCACAGTAATTGATAAAATACCTTTCCTAAATATAATCTAACTTTTTACATCTAAAAATAGCAAATACATTGTATAGATACTCATTGCATATTATCTCTTAATTTGCTCGTGTCTGTAAGACTAGTATATCATAGAATATTTTATTAAAAAAATTTTTTTGTAAAAACAAAAGGAGAAAAAGAGAACAAATCAAAATATTATCAATTAATGAACAACAGTTAATAGAGTTTAATGCTAAACTGTATTTATGCATAAAATATTTTAAGAATCTAACGTAGGCTTGCATATATATTGTCTGGAAAAAATTTTTCTATTTTTGCTTATATATGCAACATTGCTATATGTGCAACATTTTTAAATCCACTCGTACTCTTAGTGTTTGCACATTAATGAGTGCTTTTACATACTTATGAAACTAAAGTTATTTAGGCAGTATATAATATACATTGAAGTATACATTAACTTTATTATACATAAACTTTTAATATAAATTTAAATAACATTTAGCAATATGTATCTGCATAATAAATTAACTTTAGTCGCGCAATATTATACAAGTTTCTTTACGTTTTTATAGATTCTAAAAGCAATTGCATAAAATCTCGGACAAATCTGAATAGCAAATTAATACTGTTTGTTTATTTATAGAAGTAATTTTATTATAATAAACTATCATATTGTCAATTTATTGTCATATTATTAAGGATTATATATCCTTGCTCTTTGAATTGATATTAAATAAAGTTTCAGTCGAAATTTTATTTCACTGGCGTGCGTTGTAACGGGATTTTCACAACAGAGCTTCGTTATAACAAGCCAACGTGAATGTTCTGCAGTGACTATATTAAGCCACGCGTAAGGCGATTAGCATTGCATTTTTACGAGCATTCGTCGTACATACGTTTCGCACATATATCGTATGTATCGGCATGTTCAGTCAGGTGCTGCGACGCACACATGCAGACACGATGCATATCAGGTCATGAACGCATGCGCAGGTGCTTCCTCGTCGCAGAGGGCGCATATCATATTTTTTTACGCCAGCAGTCGTGTCCAATATGGCGTGAGTGTTGTGAGCGATGTTATTCTGCAGGTAAGTTTCCTGCGTGTATTTCGTGTACATTCGTTCGCGAACGGCCCCGATGACGGGACGAACGTTGTCGTTGCCGCATCGCTCGCGGCCAGTACGAAATCGCGGTGGCGCGATCGACGACGCGACAATATCGCGCGGCGAGATACCGCGGACGGTCCGTGTGTCAGCGTCGTAGAAGTTTTCAAGGTCCGAGCGGAAAGGTGCGTTTCCACTGGCGGGCATGTCACCGCGCGTACAATTGTCATACCGTCGTCGCACACGATTCGCACGGTGAATGACAGCGGTGAAGTTGATCGAGTAACGCGAACGCGGGTAAACACTCTAGGATCCATCGCGATCTAGGCTAACTACACAACAATGGCTGCAGCCTCGGTAAATATGGTGTCATCTGGCTAATTCGCGAGCATCGCTGAGAAGACTCGCGGGAGACTCGGCTGGCATTTCAAGCCTGTGAATCGGCGGGACGAACGTTTCCCGGAACGTAACTTACCGTCTCGCTATGCACGAAACGGGATCGTGCGTGGAATGTTGTCGGGTTATTTGCATTATAATGAAGATGCATTCAGCCATACTGATAAGCGTAGTCTTATGTGCCGAAGATGTCAAAGTATCTAGGTCATATTTGCTTTGTGTGTTACAACGTAATTGTTTATTCGATCGTTCGTATGTTACAATTGAATTCCTCGCAAAATGGGGATAATAACAAGGATTACATCGTTATTACTGCAATTTTAAGTCACATACATAGCAGAAATTTACAACTCATGTACATGACAAAAAATTCACTGATAAATATTATACGTTGAAAATGTTATTTGGTAACATAATTAATGCATTTCCACATCTATAATATGAATAGAATTCATTACGATAATAATACTTATATTTTCTATGAAGACATTGTACACCGAACAACACTGTTTTATCATATTTGTGTCCTGTGCTATAATGTAAACATATGTTTGATTATTCGTGTGTTGCAATTAAATTTTTTATAAAACAAGAATAATTATATTCTTGTTGTTGCATTTTTGTCACATTTACATTGCAAAAAAGTTTAATAACGAAAGATATGTTTCAAAAATGTTACATTTGATGACATAATCAGTGCGTTTTTATTTGAATAAAAACGATAGCAATAATAATATCTCTTATATTTTCTGTACAAACATTGTATGCTGAACAATACTTTGTTTTTTCAGGTAGCCTCCTGCTTTTAACACTTGGACACATTTCTGCGACTAAGGAGAACGATGTAATCAGGAAATAATAGCAAAACAATGTACAATGAACTACAATGGAAATATGCCAGATTGGCATCAGTATAATCCCCCGCAATCAGGAATAAACGACGTCTCATCGACGAGTCAAAACATTAGTTCAGGACACTTTATCTCCAGTATTAGTCCAAACTGTCCGCCACAGCTGAGCAGCTTGAACCTCAGTTCGGAAGGACTCGAGAAACATCAGAACGATTCCAACTTCAACCCGAGGCATTTCCAGCCGCATCTGCCGAGCAATATCTCGCACGGGCACAATGCCGTTGCCGACAATACCCCCCTGGCATCGATGGCGCAAATGCAGAACTGCATCGGCCACTACGGGCCGTCGAATACGAGAAACTCCATGGTGGACAATCTAAACGGCCCGATGGATCCGAGGAGTACCGCGATAGGCGGTCTGAACGAGGAGCTGGGCTACAGAAACAATCAGGTGCCTTTGAACGGGCCTATCTCGCATCACGGACCAAACGTAATGAATATGAATGCGCCGCACGGACCTATAGCATCGCGAAGCACCAACGTCAACTCCCATGCCACCGGCAGAACGGGCCCGCCACCGTCATTCGCTCCCTGCAAAGCGCTGTGCTGCAATCCGGATCCCAACATAAGTTACCAGCAGTATTGTTCTTATCAGAACAACGCGGCCTATCGAGAGAACATCCGCTCGTCCGCCGGATACCAAGCGGACGCGCGACGATTCGGCAACGACTTCAGCTTTAGGAAGGATAATTTCGACGGCAAGGACGTGCCGCCGCCGCCGCCGCCGCCGCCGTCGTCTATGGTGCCGCCACATAATGTGCCTAATGTCGATCATCGAAGAAATTTCTCCGATCCGATAAAGTATCGCAAGGACCGTCTGGTTTCACGCGGCTATCCATCTGCCTCGAGCATGCTGCAGAACTACTCGATGCAGAATTACAATTACGCGGAGTACCAGAAGTATCCCTACGGCGTGAAGGATTACTCGAAAGTCGGCGGCATGAACGTGCCGAGTCAGGGAATGGTGAAGCAGCATGGTCAGGAGCAAGGCTTCGCGATGCCGCAGCAGAAGTACAACAGCGGCAAGCAGCAGGTGCCTTATCAGAGTAACGGCGGCATGATGCCGAGTAGCATGCCGTCCGCGAACGTGCCGCCGAATCCGAGCATGATGTCGGCCGCGCAGAACACTTACTACAACTCGCAGTATCCGCGGAATCTATCGACGGAAACGTCGCACAGTTGCCAGGAAGCTGCCGATAATGTGCCCATGGCGAACAGGATGCCGACGTCGACGATGCCGCACAACACACCGCACTCGCGGTACCCGGAGTTCCAGCAGAGGTTGGCGATGCAGCGATTCTCGATCGAGAATCACCTGAGGAAGCTGTCGAGGATACCCGACTACCAGTCGCTTCCAGAATACAAGGAGTGCGTCCATAAGTATAACGAAATAGTGAATATTGAACGGCAACAGTCGTTCACGTATCAAGGACAAATGCAGCAGGCTGCCCCGTGCGTCGCCGTGTCGGCGGCCGTCAACGCGCCCACCGTCCCGCCTATAAATCTGCAGTTTGACCGCAACGGTGTTTTGATCAATTCCAGCTATCTGCCCGAGGCCTTCAGAGTGCAGCAAGTGGTGAATCCGCCGCCGGTCGACAGCGCGACGGCGGACAAACAAAGCAAACAGAGCAGCAAAAATATCACCGAAATGGCGAATCACAACGTGCAGAAACCGGAACAGATGCTTCCGACGCAGCAACACGCCGCTCACGCGGTTGTTTTGTGTCCGGAAGGCATTCAGCAAGGCAAGCAGGATCGATATCCCGCGCCGAAGAGCCTCGATCAGAGGCAGTTTCAAGTGCCGAAAGCGCCGGGCGACGGCTACAGCAATCTGGGCGCGAACGCGAGCGACACGGCGATGCAGCAGAAGATGCCCAAGGTGCTGGACGTGCGGCAATTCCTGGCGAACTGGGACGAATCGGAGGACGAGGATGGCGCGAGTGCCAATCTACCGGAAGCCGTTCTCAGCGACTCCACGCCGGTCGTGGTCGTCGGCTACGAAAACGTGGACCTGTCGGCGAAAACGCTGGAGGATTTGAACAGCTCGAAGCCGCCGGAGATCGCGTCGGGCGTGATAGCGTTCGAGAACCAGACGGACAAGAGCGCCGGCAGCGGCGGCGTGGTGGCCGCGCAGGACTGCCTCACGATATCGTACGCGGAGAACGCCGCGGAGATCGCGAAGGATTCGGCGTGCAAGGAGCTGGCGAAGGTACGGCCGGGAAGCCACATCATACAGTGCATAAGCAACGAACCCGGCGAGGCGCCGACGATACACATAGTCGACAATCTGGAGATCGGCAGCATTCTGCAGGTCGCCAATGGCCAGGTCGCCGAGACGCAGGACGCGGTGTCGTTCTTTCAAGAGGGAACAGAAGTCGAGGCGAGCACGATCGCACTCGAGGCCGACAAGTTCAAAAAGGTGGTGGACGGCAGTGGCGGCGAATCATCCGCGACCGCTCTCGTCGATCTCGCGAGCAAGGAGAAGTACATCGTCGAGGATTCCTCTTCTTCCAAAGCGGCGGAGAATGCACCGCAGCCGGCGCGGGTGGCCGATCAGATCGTCACCCTGCCGGCGTCCATGAAGGACAACTTGGACGCTGCTCAGGACATGAATTTGAAGAAGCAGAGCAGCTTCGCGAGCGAGGAATCTCACAATCCGGACGACATAAGTCTGCCGGATCTGCCCACGTCGGAGTGCACACCGATCTCCACTACGCTGAACACGCCTATCCACTCCGACAACGAGGAATCGTCGGAGCACGTCGAGGATCTCACGATACCGACGAATCCGATCGAGATCATCCAGAACAGTCCCATGATTAGTTTCACGCAATCGCCGACGAAGGGCGAGCCCTACGATCATCTGAGCGACGAGGGAACCGACAGGAGATCGACTGATTCGTTGAGAGGCGAATATCGAACGGAAACTCGTTACAAAGGCGATGGAAGTCATGATATGCTCGATCACGATACCGTTCTTGGCACATTTGAATTCTCCGCGAATATTGATGAGAGCGAAGCCGGTGCAACGACTAAGAAAAACAATAAGGAACGCGCGAGTCCACGTGGAAGTTGCGTAATAGCGAATAATAACGAGAAAACATTCGCACTGAACGGTGAAACGGAAAGTGTGGAGGTTACCGGCATGCGTATGACTTTGACCTCCGGCGAATATGAATTAAAGATCGTGTCAACAGGCGCGCAGAGCAAGCCGCGGGATTATAAAAATTCAACGAACGAGCGTCACGTGAATGAATCTGAAATCGCCGCCGCTGTAAGTTCAGACGTGTCGATGACGCGTAAGAAATTACCATTACTTCCGGAAACGTGCGCGAAAGTCACACCAGGTCGCCGTTATGACGACTCGATGGAATTGAATAATGCATTACAGAACATTACGAAAGATCCGATTGATTGCGATCAAGTTGACGCGAATTATGTCGAAAGAAGATGCGTCTCGACCGACTTGACCGATCAAACCAATTCAGCGAGCGATGCTGCTTCAAGGAATTCCAGGTCGGAGGATGTCTGCTCAACGAAGATCGCAAAAAGTAATAATCCGTCTACATCGCACAGTACAAAACGTTCGAATTTAAGCGACGACAAGTTGAGAAAATGCGAGAGCGATAAATTCGCGAAGGAGGATTCATCTTTGGAGAGGAATATTGACGGTGATAAATCCGCGAGAACCGACGCGAAGAACTTGAAAAGTTTTCGGCACGTGAAGCACGTGGATTATAAGAAGCCAGCGTCGGGCGATCCGGCGATTTCTCACAAGAAGAGATATTTGTCCGAAAACACGGCGGAGAAATGTAGCGGAGAGGCAACTACACATCACGATAAGCATACTCAAGAGGCGGATGCGCATAAAGTCAAATTATGCGCCGGCGATGGTCCCAAGGAATCAGACGTATCGCGTAATAAACCAAAAATAATCGATAACATACGCGTCGACGACAGCAGCGAGAGAATACGGCTTCTGAAGGAGTACAGAAGAATAAAGTACAAATCGTGCAGCGTGGGAGAAAAGAAAGGTAAAGATGCACAGGAAGCGTCCGACTGTGCAGCGAGCAAGAAGAGCCACCTTTCGTCGAATCCTGACGAGCGATCGCAGTCATCGAAGGATAAACAGCTGTGTCAACGGGATGCAGCGAGGCTCAAGTTGTCCGACGAACAGGAGGAGAAGCACGCGAATATTCTGCGGACGTTTGTGACGAAAAATATCAACCCCGACTTCGACATTCAAGTCACGAATGTCAACTTGAAGCTCAACGACAACGATCACCCGAGAGATTTGCAGTGTTTGCGAGAAGATGCGAAGAACAGCGGTGCCCTCGACGCGATCAAAATCGAAATCAACGTGTCGTGCTCGGAACGGAATACAACGAAGACGTTGCTGCATGAAAATATCAAGAACGCTGTCGCTGAAACGATCGGTCACTTGACCAGCACGATCTCGAACGGAGCGAGATCGAATTCGACAAGCATCACGGAAATTCAGTGTGATAAGAAGGTAGCCTGCGACAAGGTGGAGTGCTGCGATTACGAGAGATCTCCTGCCACTTCGAGGGAAGCGTCTACGTACAATAATGAGGCATACAAGGATCAGGATAACGCAGAAGTGAAACACAAATCGGCGATCACCGCATGCGCGGCGAGCGAGGAACCTTCTAATTCACTTGTCTCGAAGAAAAAACGAAAGTCATCCTCGGAACGAGATCAAATCAATAACATATACGACGATAATGGTATGTTTTTGAAGATTATTTATATGTTTATATAATATTTTAATTATTTTATATACTTATTTATATGTTTTATACTTATTTATATGTTTATATAATATTTTAATTATTTTATATACTTATAATTTATTAATTATAAATAAATTTATATATTAATTAATCTTTATTGCTTCAGCTTTAGTCAAGAAGTGGACTTGGTTTAGAAAATATTTATTACACTCATTACTCTTTCCATATTAATACAAATACAAATTAATCGTTCTTTCTTTAGTGATTTTTAACGTAAACATAGATATCTTTATCGTTTGTTCTAATAATAAACCACCAATTCCTTCTTTCTCTATAATCTTGTTTGTGTCTGCAATATACAAATCAACCGGCAGTGGATTCATAATTATTTTATATATTTATATTATAACTTTATAATTTAAATATTATAATATATAATATTTAAAACTTTTATATTTATATAAATGTAAAGTTATATAAAAATATTTGCACAAAGTCGCTCAATTTTTATATAATTGTATAAAATATTTTGAATTTATTGTTAATTACAATTTTTATGAAATGCTATTTTATATTTATATAAATTTAGAGTATTTATATAACTTAATAATTGATGTAAATTAATTTATGTACAAATATTTGCAGAAAATTATTTCATTTTTTATTATTTTTTGTAATAATCTTAAGATGATTTAAAATGAAAAATTCTCACGAATTAAATGTTTTCAGGTAACGTCAATATCGAAACTGAGCCTGCATCGAGCATCTTGGAAACTTCGGAAACGGAGCACGCAGCAATTAGAAGACGAAGCGTGCAGCAAGATGCAGAAAGGAAAGTTGCTGCCACCAATTTCTGCGTAAACGAAGAATCGAAAATCTCTGTGGATAATTCATACATGGGATCGAAGAACGTACAGAAGATGGATCACCAGGAAATGACCGCTTCTCTCAGTAGAAACGCAAGGAATTCCCAAGACGATATCGCGTCTAGATCAAACGCGATTCCGTCGACCTCTTCGAGCGCAGCGAATGCCAGCTTGGAAGACGCCAGGTACGACAATCCCGTACACTTCGATTACAATCACTTCGACGTTGCGCCGAACGAGCATACAGATGCTAATGACAACGACAAGCGTAATGACAGATGGAAGAGGCCGAAGAGGGACGACGGTAGATTCAGAAGCTTCGACCTGTACGAGAGCTCCAGCGGCTTCATAAATCCGACCTTCTTCAGTGCGGACGAGCGGGAGAACTTGAACGCGGTTCCCGTGTACACTACCAAGGACGGGAAGATAACTTACAGCCCCAATCCCCGATTCACGTATCGCGAATTGATCATGGAGGCTCGCGCGAAGGAGAGCTACGGCCCAAGCGCGCGCGACTCGTACTTCGCGCGATCGCCGTCGTACGATTATTACAACTGTTCCAAGCTGCGGAAGGTATTCAAGAGACATCGTGACGTCGCCGCCGGTCGAAAGAGAGATATCGATTCTGCCGACGCGAAACCCGCGGCGAAGCACATCGATTATTCGCCGAGCAACAACGCCGCGAAGACCCGAGATACGTCGCATTTGGAATTCTTCAACGACGCGAACAAATTATTCGCGAGCAGCAGAAACGGTCAGCAGGAGAGCAAAGAGAGCAATCGGAAAAACATCGTGGATCTGAGCTTCCTGGAGAAAAAATACAACAACGAATCCGCGTCCAGCGTTAAGCATTGCAAGACGTTCGCGGACAATCTCGGCTATGAGAAGGGCTACAACGAGAGCTCCGTGTTCGATACGAATCTGTTTCTGGGACCAAAGTCTACATGCGAGGAGACGATGGAGTCGATCAAGTCGTATTCTTCTCATATCGACAGGAGAAATACCGACGGCCTCAAAGAGTATAATTTCAGCGAGATATTCGCCGTGCAGAAACGACTGGATCCCTTCCCGTTCCTGCCTGCGCAGCAAAATTCCTCCGACAATGAGCACAAAGCGAATTGCGACACGGCGAACGAGCCAATGTTGTATCATCGTGCAATATGCAGCTTTGCCGACGATCTACATGTCAGCGACGATGATGCACGATGCGAAAAATCGAGTGCCGTCTTACATAATGAGCAAGAGAGTGAAATTAATAATCAAAACGATGCAGTAGTGATAAGCATTAATAATGATAAATCAGCAGACACGCCTAGTGCATCGTTGAATATACATAGAAACGATGAATATTTAACGAGGCAAGAATCTCAGTCCGAAGAAATCAAGTCCAGCGCTGTGCTTGCTGAAACTCCACGTCCTTGTTCTCCGAAAGTAGTAGATGAGAAAATTCAGGATTCGGAAAGAGATCAGTGTTCTGCGGATTATGTTAAAGACAACGAAGTATTAGCGGAACATCCAGATCCGGAAGATGACGCGTGTGTTTGCAGCACTGTCTCTTCACAGGAAGATGAACCCAACGCTGAAGAAGCTAAGACTGCTAAGAATGTTGAAAATACTGAGAATGCTGAATATGTTGAAAATACTGAAAATGCTGAAAATGTTGAAACTACTAGAAGTTGTGAAAATTCTGAGAATGCTAAGGAATCTGAGAAAGCTGAGGAAACTGAGAAAGCTGAAAATACTGAAAAAGCTGAGGATTCGAAACAACATTTAGATGAACATATCGAAGTCGCAAGTCTATCTGAACTGAATGTAGATGGTGATCTTATCAAAGATTCACCGGATGAATTAAAATCTGCAAAAACAATAGAAGAATCTGCGCCTCCTTCGAACGAACAAAGCGATGGAATTAATGACAGCGCGAAAAATAATTCAGATCCTGCCGTGGACCAAGAAATTTTACATTCAGAAATTTTACCTGTGTCGAACAATCGCAAAGAAGAGGAAGAAGCTGCGCCTGCAATAGAATTGAACATTTCGAGCGAAATTGATCAGACAACGAATGAGCAAGACAATGCGTGCGACGAAAATTCTACAGTTTGTCAAGAAAAAGAACCGATTACTTCGCAAAATCCATCCGACGTCGCACTCATGGAACAATCGCTTGAGGAAGAAGGCAACGAGCAGGAATTGCAAAAGCCGGTGGACGAAGAACGGACTGCGGAAATTTCATTGAAGGATCCAGGAACTGACGAGGTAGACAATTGCAATCCCATCATAATATCTACGCCGCCTCCCATTTTGGATTTGCAGATGGCACGAGCGGAAGACAGCGTGTGCGACTTATTCGCGAACGAGAAGCGCGAGCAAAATATATCGGAGTTCACCGTCATCAAAAGCATCATCAAACCCGATAAGAAGCAACTTGAGGAACTGGAAGCGAAAGAGCATCTCAAGGATTGCGACAGCATAATCGATTCTAAGCTGCTGTGCATGGACTCCTCTGATTGCGGGATCTACTCGGAGGACAGGTGCACTTTGGTACAAATATCCGAGCACGATTTCACCGAGGACGACAGCATGGTGCCGATGGAGTGGGAGACGAGTCAGATTCAGGAGGACGCTGTGAATCGCTTGTGCAGCATCGACGAGTCATCGATCGACTTCGCGGGTGCTGCCAGTTCGCTGCAGGACAACTCGCTTCTAGATAACTTGTCCCTCTCACGGGCGTCATCTACCATCAAAGAATCCGCAGTTGCGGAAAAAATCATGGAAATGGAAAGTAAGACGAACGACGAGTCCGCGGCAGCGATCGAGTCGAGGCCGACGGTGGAGGAATCTAAACCGAGCAACGATGACGACGATGGCGACCGAGAGCCGGATCAAGTTTCTTCCAGTAATTACGAGAAAGTCGCATACCTGCGCGCGACGGATTGCAACGCCAACACGAAGATGGTGCCGAAGCTCGTCATCAAGAAGAGCGAGGCGAGCTCGAAATTCGTCACGAAGTTGAGTGCCTCCTCCTCCCCCGTCTCACCGGTGAACAGCAAATCGAGCTATCAGCCGAAGATACCCAAGATGATCATTAGAAACGCGAGATCTCGTCCCGGCACGCCGTCCATCCCGTCCATCGAGGCCGTTCACGAGGAAGTTTCCGCTCAAGCGAGTATTTCAGAGCGGTCTTCGCTCGCGGCCGACGAACTGTACGACAACGATTCCAACCAGAGCTCCCTGCAGGAGTCGAGCGGTCACAGGAACAAGATTCCCAAGATGAAGATCAAACTGGACGAGAGACACTCTAGCAAGATAATAGCCGAGGACAGCACAGAGGTTTGCGCGAAGCGCAAGAATATGAAGAAAACGATATCAAAGGTAAGGTTAAAGAATTCTTCGAGGCTCAAATTCTCGGATAACTGTGATAACGTGGTTTTTCAGGAGTCACGAGATCCGGACAGGCACGAGGAGAAGATACCCGTGTTGAAGCTGCGAAAGCACGAGAGAAACAGGTCGTCATCTCCAGAAGGCGTGACGCGGAAGCGGCAGAGTTCGAGTCATTCGGATGTGCCGGTGAAAAAGTGCAAGAGATCGGGACGCGACGAAACGGGACACTCGACGAGGCGCAGCAGCTCGTCCGATTCGACGCGGACGACCGCGTCGGAAAGCGAGGCGCGGAAAAATCCTCTGGTGTGCATCTCCGAGAAGATTCCGAAGGTCATCATCAAAAGAACGTCGGCCAGCGCGGAGTTCAAGTGCGAGTTCAGCAAGGGATACAAAAGCGTGATCGCGAAGAGCGCGAAGTGGCAGCCGGAAGTCAAGCTAGAGCGTTATCGCATTCTCGACGGCATGGTGAAGGATCTAAAATTAACTCCGATATCGTTGCGCACCATAGAGAAGATATTCTCGAGTAGCAAGGATCGTCGGCAGCAGGAGGGCGATCACAAATTGTCCAGGTCAAATTCGACGTCCGACTTGCTGCCCGTCAAATGCAAGCAGCGGAGAATGTCGGATTACGACTGCAGGAAAGCCAGCGACGCGTTGAAGAGCGATTTGAGTTTCGCGCGGGACGCGGACGTTAAGAATACGAAAACGTGCATCACGCCGAAGAAGAATGTATCGTCGAAAAATCACAGCAGACCGATGGACGACGGATGCCCAAAGGACGACAGACGCAGATCCAGATCCCGCGATAACAATCCACAAGCGGAAACGGACGTTACTGATAAGGAGATGAGTCAGCCGTTTGGAAAAACCGGTTCGGCTTTTGCTCAGCATGATGAATGTAAAATTAGTGGTTTTGATGTCCATCACGAGCGAGCGGCGAGAGTCGACAAAGATAGGCAGGAGAATATTTTCGTGAAGCATTCGAGCAACTCTACGGACTTCAAGATCGCGTTGAAAGAACTGAAGGCGACGTCCAATATGGAGAATTGTTTTGTAAAACTGCCTGACCTGAGCGGACCACTTTCCCTAGAAATCAATTTACATACCGAGAAAGAAGGGCAAAAAGAACGAGACGAGGACCTCTTCTTCGGTAAGAGCGACAGTAAAAACATGATAAAGAAGGAACGACTGAGCAGTTCCAGCGACATCGATTGCACTCTGCAGGACGATATCGGTTTGCTCAAGGACGATTCTGCAGGTATGTTGGATAGTTTCGGGATAAACAGGAACTCCATCATCAAAATCGAGTCCTCGGACGAGAGCCAGTCGACTATCGAGATCCTGCCGGCGTCGCCGGACGATAACAATGAGCTGGAAAGCAACATTATCGAAGACGGCGACAGCGAACAGTTGTACTCGGCGGACGCGATTCCAACTCAGTTCGAATTGGAGCTGGAGATCGCGGACAACAGCAACACGGATCTGCTGGACGTGCCTATGCCGAAGCTCGATCCTATTTCTTGCTACAGTTCACGTCGCGTTTCCACCGAGGAGCCTTGCGGCGATCAAGCCTCGAAGGCAGGACGCTGCAATACATTCGAGTCCTCGTCTCGCGGCAAGAATCTGCTTGAAAAAGACAAGCATGTGACGGCTAACGGTAGATCCGCGCTGGAGAGCGACTCGACTGGTTCTGTTAGACAGATTTCCGTGATATCTCCGTGCAGCAGGACGGCGGGTTCCGTCGCGACGAAGGAAAACTTCTGCTGCAACGATTCGTTGATTAAGGAAGTCTTGGCGGCCAAGGAGACCTTGAAGAAGTGCCTTTCGAAAAGCAGATGCGAGGAGAGCGGCGCGAGGCTGAAGACAGTCGCGGAGAAGAAACAAGGCTCGAGTTTTGATCTCAACAGTCTCTCGGAGACGCATTCTAAGTCAAGCAACGCTCCCCAAGGCTGTCGTAGCGACATCGCGCCTCAGACGGCTTCCACGCCCGCGGCTGGCAAACACAAGACTGAAAGCATGCCTGTCGAAAAGTCTGATAAGAAACATTCCAAACAAAGTAAAAGTTCCTGCGTGAAGAAGAAACCGAAGTCGCCCGAGAAGAATGACAGAGCGAATTGCAGAGAGGTGACGAAGAGCGCGCTCGAGAGCGCGATATCCTTGAAGACGTTCAGACGCGTCGGCCAAGCTGTCTCGAACGAGAGTCGTACTGTGTACTTGAGCGAGAAACGAAAGAATTCATCGGACACTCCGCAGTTACGAGATACGCAGCGGAAGGAGGGGAGCAAGTGGTCGTCTTACAAAATTCCCAAGATATCGAAATCTATGGATCGCGGCAGAGCCGACGGCAACGCGAAGGAGAACAAGTCGAGGGAAGACAACATGCCGATATTGGAGCCCGCGATCGCCATGGATCTCGATTCGGACAGAGACAGTTCCAGATCGCCGCCGGTCATCACGATTCAGGACAGTGAGGATCTCGAGATAACGGAAGCCAAGCTGGCGGACGACAAGATCATCACGTCGGACGATAAAGTTGCGAGCGACATGAAGGATGTTCACAAAAAGAGCGAGATGTCCACTGTCGATTTGATATCTCAGTTAGCTTATCATGAAAAGGTGAGAGAAATCTCTCCCTATTTCTCATTCATCTATTTATTCTCTCTTACTCAATTCTTTTGTATTCCTTGCAGGCAACGATAAAGGACAAACCTTACTGTAATCTGTGCGAAAGAGAGTTCGACACAATAGCACGGTATCGACGGCATCTGCGTGGATATCAACACAGTCACATGGAATTGACACAACGTAGGAGCATCCACGCGCTGTTCATGCTGTTCACGGGCAAGCCCTGTCCGAGGCTGCTACCGGCACACATCGTGCGAAGTGATTGCTCCATAGGTGAATTAACGCCGTTACAAATTGCGGTTCAGGTACGTTACATTTTTTTCATTGAGACGCTTGTAACAGCTTTTACATTTGTATTACATTACGTATTTTGTTACGATTGATTAATCAGTGCATAAGAATTTGTATACATAGCAGTGTACAAGCCAATACTGTTGTAATTCGAAACTTATTTTAAAATCAATTTTAGCTGGGATTCTTGATTAAATTTTAATTAATTTTATTATTTTTACACTATTTTTAATTAATTTAATATTATAAATGCAAGACTATTACAAATTCAAATGAAAGAACATTATATATAAATAACATTTTTACCGATAAAAGATAATAGTTAAAATTGTATTTCGGCTATTATCTCTGTTTGAAAAACAGCTGTAACTCAATAAGTTTTCCAAGTTACAATGCGATAAATCTGATAAATGTATATGGATATAAATATACTATGTTCGTTTTTAGGATGTCACAAAGTGCTTTGACCGTACAGAGCAAAGTCCTAAGAAGCAGAATAACGTTGAGAAATAATCACGAGTAAGTGATTTGGATTAAGCATACACAGTTACTGTGATCATAATTAAACGGCTTACAGTGCAATCTTTTTCTGAAAACATTGTTTGCGGCGATAATAAGAGGAGATAATACGAATATTTTAGATCGCAGCTAGTCCGACATGCGGTTAAATAGCTGCCACTGTTAATGGCGCCGGCATCGAAATTTTAACTACTAGATAACGAACGCTTCAAAAGAAGTTTGTTAATTTTAGCTAAGTCAACCGATGCGGGTAATCATTAACGGAGAGTTACCGAGGAGACAATTTTAGCTCGCAATTAGATGTTTAGCCAAAGACTTTAGTAAAGCTAAATGATACACGTTCGATTATTTACACTTTTCAGAAGACTCTGGTCTTTATTTGTACAAAGTTTTAACGAGTGATTCAACCGCTGATTGTGCTCACTGCGAATTTTTATTTATATTACGAAGAGACTTATATATAATGGATAGGTATATATATACATAACACACGTACATATACACGACATATATATATGATTATATCTGTCATTCCAGTTTGCAAAATATATACACTGACAACATTCTGTTACCAAAAATCACGCGTATACGATTAAATTTGTGTAAAAATTGCGGTATGATCAAGTTTCTAAACATAGACGTACAAGAAATGATGAAACATTCCTATATTATAATTATACGGAAAAAAATTATGGGATATTGAAGTGATTTATGTTGCACAGTAGAAAGTTTACTTTAACGAAGCTGTTTGCGATTCATATATAGATATATAAAACTGTCGATTTCCACGTTGTGTCGGTGTTAAAATGCACTTGGAATGACTAAACGTTTTAACTTCGTTGTCTTTTTAGAAGTTACAGTTACGAAATTTTATTCGTAATATTTTATCGGTGTTATTTTATTTGTAATATTTTATCGATGTTATTTTAAATGGAATGATATTAAATCGTGTGTCGTGAAACGTGAAGAATATATATGTATGTAAAAACAAAAATTAAAAAAAAATATATATATTCTTCATCAAAATGTCTATCATGACATTCTCATCATTGCTATGTCTATAGAAACTACACGTTTTGGGTTACACAGAAATATCGCATAGCTCATGCTAGAGTTGATAATGCAAAAAGTGGTAAGCGTTAGGGAAGATTGGGGGGGGGGGGGGGGGGAAGAGGATCTGCACCCAGCGTTACTAGGCTTCGACGAATGTACATATTGCCATAACACAGAAGATCTATTGAAGCAAAATCCGTGATATTAATGTTTAGAGGAATTTAAAGTGAGCAGGTCGAGGCCAATCTCAGTCTACAACATGATTTCTTTGTACAAACAGGCAAAATTTAAACATACACAATTCACGATATGCACAGTGTTCAAGCACTGGATAGTGATGCTCCACATGCATACACCTATATATATATATCAAGTCCAAAATCTCTGTTAACACAGATTTTATACATTAAGTGATAGTTTTATGCTCCCTTTTCACATATTTCGCACTTGATTGATAATCGTTCACAGTACATTTAAGAGTACATTCTTGATTATACTCGATTGATGACAAAAGTTGAGCTTCTTTTTGCGACATACATTTTAATCAAAGTGTGAAGATGTGCGCTGGGAGTGAGATAATTCCTTAAAGCACTAGTTCCTGGCTTTAGAGGGGGTTAGAGTAGGTAATGTTGTTAAGAGGCTACGACCAGATGTTACATTAATACAGGGTTAACCGATTGTATTCGGCAATCGTTTCACGCTATTTCCTAATTTATCTTACGGAGTTTAATCGTCGGAGTGAAAGCGTTTCTCGTTCATAATCAATTCTAGTTCTGGACCAATTTAACCAAATGTAATAGATATGTAAGTTTATGAATTGTTATTACAGTTAGAGCTTTTGTTTTTCTTTATTTGTTCCAAATGTTTTAGATTTTATTCGCACGAGTGCCTTAAGATACACCTAACAGTATTCGTTGTATCGTGTTACATATATTATATAAAAAGATACATATATATAGATCTATATATAAAAATATATATATCTATATACATATATATATACATATAAATACATTTAAAAGAAGGAATCTATATATTTGTACACTTGAGCATGTTTATACACATGTACATGATTATGCCTTAGTTATTGGAGCGCATTATAAATTATATAATTATTTTTAAATATATTGAGAAATATTGAGAAAACATTTTACCAGTCCAATCTGAGAAATCAGAATCTTTTACACGAAACGTACAAAATAAAGTTTAACTGTTGCAATTGAAACAAAGTACATATTACACGTGTTAAAAACAGAGTCTTTAGCGTAACAATACTGCCTCTTTATAGCTACAACAGATATTTTCGACATGAACAATAATTTGATGCTACATCGTTTGTTTAACTGCACTGATGAAAATGTACGATCACTATAATCAGTACAATGACTGCATTATTGTAGCGACATAACAAAATATACAGAAAATGGTACAATAGGAATTGTTAACAGCGACAGCAGATTGTTAATACTTTATGAATCTGCACGTACTGAATCTAAATAATTACGAAGACTCGTATCTGAAAGCTTTATATATAAATGATATATGAAACAAATGTATGAGTATGTTCATGTTTTTCAAATAATATCAAGTAAATTTTTAAAAAACCGTGATAAAATTGATAAAATTATATCATAAAGGTATATCACAAAGTGTAAAACAATAATTATTGAAACATAAAATTTTATGTAATGAGATATTACGAACATTTTCACATATAGATAGTTACACGAATGTTTTTAATAATTTTTAATTAATGTTGTTATCTCATTTGTTATACAAACTTCGTTATCAATTTTCAAAATTATCTGTTTTTTATCAACTATGTAGTAAAAGTATCAGTTAATATGACAAAAATGTATGTTAATGTTACATTGTGGTAATCAAATCTCTATGGATATATTCTTAGACTTAAAGAAATAGAATAAATATTTTATAAAGTGTTGAATATTCAATGGTATATATAGATATTAAAAATATATATATACAAGTTTTTGCTGTGCTACGATTTAACTAAACGATAAAACTGCTGCCGTGTTTAGTTTGTACTATTAATTATATTGGAAAAGAGTATATATATATATATATATATATATATATATATATATGTACAAAAGTTACTGTTCTCTCATAACTAAGGCTTATTGTGTACATATATCATTGTTGTGTGCTCGATGTGCCTAAAATTTTAAAAAAACGTTATACGCATCACACGTCCAAACATAAATATATATATATATATATATATTATGTACATACATACATATATATGTATATATATTGGAATTTATGTACATGGAATATTTTATGAATCTATACATCACTTGTACATTGTGTAAGAAAAGTTCCTTAAACTATGTACAGATATTAATATTGTACATTTGAATCCGTACATTGATACGATGAAGTATGTATTCCGCTATGTGGGAAATGGACACCTGAAGAATTTTCAAATGCCTCATCTATTAAGTCACTTATAATATTTTATGCTAGCGTTTACAAAAAAAACAAGAAAAAAAAACTATGTTACAATAATGCATCGTACATGGGCATTACGGTCGTTCACTGAAGTTCTGATTTATGCATAATTATCAAATATAGAGGATGTGTTTTAAAGCGAATGAATTCCTGTATGAACTTAACAAATAAGGAATGTGCGTTGTACATCCGAGGATTAATCAAATTCGCGCGTTAAGAAATACTTAAGTTTAATAATTAGACAGTTTAACGATGAGAGCAGCAGACCGGACTATTCCTGACTTCCACTACTGTAAATCTGTATAAGCTCATGCAGGACTGTGTTTCCGAATGAAAATCTTTGTTAGATGATTTGTGTGATATAACTTAATCTATATTGAGATGATACAGATCGTGAATTATTTGTACTCGATTATTTACTGACGTGTATGTATCTGTTTATTATATATTTATTGCCCTGCGATCATTTTATAAATGTACGCATAGTGCTCGAAGGATTACTTTTTTGTGAAACACATGTTTGGTCTTGTCGAAGCAATTTTCCAAATTTATGTATGTATATATATATATATATTAGTAGAAGAAATTATACAAAAGAGACCTACAATTGAATTACATATATCAGATCGTTTATTTTGTTGAATATGAAATTCGTTGAATTTTACATGTTAAAGTTTGAATTTAATTTAAAAATGTTTTTTAAAAGCTGTCTCTACAATAGACATATGTTCTTTACAAACATGTGTGCATTATAAACACCAACTACATTCTTATTTCACGAAATAAAATCGTACATGTCCAAAAAATTTTTATTAGGTAAAATTGTAATTATGTATTATGTTTCTCAATTACATATTTTTAATATTTTCTGACGTTAGAAGCTATTTCTGCATTTTGGAAAAAAATTTATATTATTTATATCATGCGACAAAGCAGCATATCTCCCATTGTAATTCGAGTGCTAGTTTGATAATTAAGTAGCACTGTCTGATGAAAGTAATGCACCGTTATTCAATATTAATTTTTAATGTAAAAATTTATCTTTACAACTAATTTAAAAATTTGTGTGTGCAATGTATCGCTTTGTTGCGCCTTGTGTGAAAAGATCATACTTTTTACAGTTTAATTAGGAAAAATACATGACCTAGTAAGACTTTTGCGAAAATGATTATTGCTGCTTAAGGATGTCAACGGAATTGCAATGAGATATAAATATGTAATCATTCCATGAATTAGGATAGCAAAGTCTTTAAATATAGGAATACAATGAGTTTTACGATATGTTAATTTCTGTTATTGTATTTACACGTACTTAGGCTATGAGAGTGTATAAAGAATTCAAATTATTATAGTCAAAGGAAAATAAAGAGTGGATTGTATGATGAAATAAGTATAGTGTACTGTTCTTTCTTGTATTGCATTAATTTTTATTTCTTTCAATTTTTGCTTCTTTTTGAATATAATTATTATGTATCATAAATTTAATTTTATTCTGATAGGTTTATATCTTCAGGTCTCAATTTAGCTTTTCTAGGATCTTTGCTTAAATAAAATTAGTTTACATATTCAAGAATTATTTGTTTATTATTAATAAAATTAATATTAAAGATTTTTATGGCACATACTATATTTTAGAAATACATAATATCAACACCAATTCAATTAATACAATTGTCATTTATAATAAACATAAATTTGAAATTATTTATTATCTATTTACCTCACTTTTTTTAAAATAAGCAATAAAATAGTATTAATTGATAAATATTTATGTATAAGAGATTTTTATCGTATGAGATACATTGTAAGAATTTAAGAAAATATATACGCTGTTGATAGTATTAGATTGGCATAGTATTAGGAATACATGCTTAAAAGTTGGTTGTAAATTCAAATTTAATTTTATATGTAAATTCAAGGACTAAGTTTGCGGTATTAGGAGAACAAGATTGGCAAGAGGAATAACAAACTGAAGAAGTGCAAATTCAAATATTTAAATTCAGGAGCTAAGTTCTTAATATTAGGAAAACACGATTGAAAGAAGTTATGTGGATTCAATTTCGAAGTGGCGCTATTTTAAAAATACATTCTATATTAATTCTTATAATAGATTTTCAAAAAATCTGAAATTACTAATTAATATTTCTACAGCCTTTACTCATATCAAATTTATTTTATTAAGGGACTATGCGTTCTTTTTCGATATTTACTGTCAATGATGTGACCTATAAATTTTAGAACTGGCAGTGAATATCAGGGCATTAATCATGTAATTTTTCCTTAGGAACGGAAACGTGAAAAGTGAAAATTTCATATAAACTCGACGAATAGAATTGTCGAATTCACATAAAAATGGGTTTGTTTGTTTAGCTGCACTGGAACTGCACTAATGCCCGTATCAGACTATACATTGAAAATTGAGATTAAAGATTAGAGATCGAAATTTGACTAATCAGAACAAAAAACTTTTAGCTCCTTTTGTTTCGATTGGTCAAATTTCAATCTTTAATTTTTCAATATTTAATCTTCAATGCGTAGTTTGATACGGGCTTAAAACAGGATAATACAGAACAAATAAATAATCTGGTTTGTATTGGCCCAATAATTGGCGGGAAAAGCAATGAAACGCCAGTCAAAAGTAAGCTTGAGGCTGCGTTCCGAAATTCACTGCCAGTACTGAAAATCTGTAGTTTACGTTACGTATATTGTAGATTTTCAGTACTGGCATTGAATTTCGGAACGCAGCCTACATCAACTCTTCGAGGGCAAATTGGGATCATGGTGGAAAGATTCTTTCCACCATGATTGGGATATTCATAATAATACATGTATATCAGTATTGATCAGTATATCGAAGGTTTGAGTTAGATACGACGAGAGAGATTTGACTTCTACGAAATCATCAAAAGAGGTATACAATTACAACTGCAGTAAAGCATTTTCGGGAATTTGCTGAATTTGTAGTTATTTTAAACGTATCTAAATTTTTAACGATAATCTTTTGATCAAGTTACACAATTTTTTGAAACTGCAGGTTTTAATATCCATCAAAGTTAGAGTTGGGGATCTATTATTCGAATGAATCTTTGTTTAATTCCTTGTTTAAATAAGGTTTTATTCGACACATAAACCGTACAATTTTTTACTTCAATGTTTTTTTTATTTATTTCATAATGTGAAATTTGTATTAGGAAGCTAACCTTACTTTATCTGTTTCTTTGTCTTTGTCTTGTAATTTTTGAGCTATTAGCAATGCAGCATTAGGATTTAATCTCTTTGTTTTATATAATTCTTTGAATCTCACATTTAGTAACTTAGTGTTGATAATATGATAAAAAATAAAGAATAGTTTTGTAATAATTAAGATGCTATAATTGATAACATAATTTATGGAACTCGATTTCTAAATTAAGAAGAAGAAGAAGAAAAAGATTCCAAAAATGGAAGCAGATCTTATGGTCTCCTGTCCTTATAATCCTGCACATCGCATTCGTAAAGCGAAACTTATGGCTCATGTGGCAAAATGCAAAAAAAGCAGTAAGATAGAGAACAAAGCAACATGTCCACTGGATTCAAGTCATATAGTTGATCGTGACCAGCTTGATGTAAGTATGAATCTGTGTGTATAATATAAATTTTTTTTGTTTACTAATAAAAATTATAATGTTTTTATGTTCACAAATGTTACTTTATTATACTTTATTATACTTTATTTCAAATATGTGAGACATTTATTTTGAAATATTTTCAATTTTTGTCTATTAATACTAATTTTACAATATTTCTCATTATTGCAGGAGCATATCATATCATGCCCAGGTCTTGCAAATTTAATAACAGATGTGGATTATTTAAATACTGATCAAAATGCAGAACAAGCTGCTCTTATAGACTCAAGTAGATCAGTTGAAAACTGGGATGAGGTATAAAATATAATTAAATTATATAAGTAGGTCAACAAAAATTCAACAAAGAATAAAGTTTATTACATTATAATATATATAATTATGAAAGTAGTAATGTCTTTAAATTGTGATTCTTTTTAGATTGAATATTAATCTATTTTATATAGGTTATCTAAATTATTATCTGTATTATTATATATATTTTTATCAATATTGATTTAACAGTATTGTTACATTTGTATAATTTGTTTCACAGGAACCAGAAGTTCCGCCTTATAATCCGATGGAAGTTTCAGAAAATAAAAAGGTACTACGATCTGTTGCTGGATTGTCAAAAGCAGAGAGGAGGAAGTTTAGAAACAAGGAACGAATGCGTATGGCACAGCTTAATGCGGAAGATTTGGATGCTTCAGTAGGAACTTCATGTTCAGTGAAAGATGCGGTAAAATATATTTTAAACTATTTTGCTGTATGTCTATTTAATGAGTAATATTATAATGAAAACCTTGCTAATATATAACTTTTTTATTGTAATTCTAGGATACATCATTGTATTCTTTATATTCTCTTCGCCGTTCTGACAATGTCTCGAATGATGCACACACTTCATCTGCAAATAACTTGGATAAGTCATCTAAGCAAAATGCAAGCATACAAACTAATATCAGTCATGAATTTGATGATCCATTCCACAGAACATTATATAATGAATTTGCTCCTGAAAATGATAATCTTAATGAGCTGTTGGAACAATCCCTACATCATGCTGAGGTAATATATTTACAAAACATTTACAAAATGTTTGGTTATCTGTAAAGTAAGAGCAATATATAAGTGTATTTGTATTCTTTTTTAATTTTAGTTATTTAACAAATCATTAATTCCTGAGACAAAATCTGCGAAAGATAATTCTTACATCGATAAAGAAAAACAAGATTTCCCCAATTTTGGTCAAAATGAGAATACAAAAATTGAGTTAGATGCAGTTGGCGGATTATTCAATACCAATAATCTGAAACAAGAGAAGAGCGAGTGTGCTGCAAGTGCTGCTGTTTCATGCGAACGAGATGATCTTTCAACTTTATTAAAAAATCTGAATGCCATGAAGGCTGCAAAAGAGGAACTCAATCGAAATGATAGAGACTTAAGTCAGAAGGAATGGGATGAGATGTTTGATAGATTCAATATTTTAACAAATGTTCAGAATGCTGCTGCGGAAGAGAGTGCACAGTTATTGCAACAATTGAGTAAGCTTAAACTGCGTCAAGAAGTTCCACCTAAAAAATAATTTTTTCTTCTCATAAATCATCGAAGATAATTTGACAAATGTGCTATAATCCGAATTATGCTGGTAAACTTTACTGAGTACATACTATAACAGTATCAAAGTATAATTGAAAAATGATGTGTTTTAAAATAAAATTATATGTATGTAAAAGGAATATATGATATATATATATATATAAATTTCTAAGGAATTTATTATATATACATATTAATATTATGTGTGATGTGTGTTGGTGTGCATGTGCGCGCGCACACGCACACCACACACATATACATACTATAATAAATATACATATGTCTTATAAAAAACACTGATACACATAAATAGCAAGTATATATATCTGATCTAATTTTGGGATCTCTAAGAAAATTTTCCTGCGTCAGATTTTTCTCAAGAAACTTTATTGTATAACAATAATATTATATAAATAATGGTGTTGATGTTGATGCATTCATGCATTAAATATACATTGATGTGAATTTATGTCAATGCAAACGGATGCTGAATTAATCAAATATTTTGGCTGTTATCATTGAACTATATGACATACTGGAGAAAGCCTTGAAGACATGGGGATGGTTCCACTGTGGAAAGAGAATGGTTTAATATTGCCAGGAGGGTATCTGTGTGTTTCATCGTCACTAATACACGGTGTAAATGTGGAAGGAATACAGATGCTCCCTGGCCACTGTTGCTCTCCTTATACCAAAAACTACATTGGCTCTTATGGGAAGGCTCTCTATGGACGGTATTCATAGTCATTTCTTATATTTAAGATCGTCTTAAGTCGTCATCGTCGTTTTAAGATACTAATATGGCTTTTTGATTGGTTCGTAGCATTTTAAGACAATATTTAAGACAATCTTAAATATAAGAACGGACTATGAATACCGGCCTATGTTGTATAGCTCAATGATTAGCATATATACATGTATACTATTAATATCACATGAAGTGATATTTGCTTTCTCTTTTTCTTCCTATGAGATGTGTAAACATTATTTAGAATATTATTTAGTCAGTGTTATAAAAGAGATCAATCATCTATATATTCGCAGAGACAAAATAATATAGAAATATAAAAATATTTTGTTACGAGATATAAGTATATTTTTGTTGAAAATCTATAGAATTAAAAATCTAAGTAATAAAACTTTTTAGTTTATGTACATTATTATGAACTTTTTTATTACATAAGTTATCTTTTTATACATAAATAAGATTGTGATTAATTAGTTATTCCAAATAAATATATGTTTTATATGTAATATTTGAAGTTCATGTTATTTTGTGTATCATTGAAATGGTATGCTTGTGTATGCTTGAGGTAAAGAAATAGTTTTTTATTTGTATAATTGTATAAAAAACAATAAGACTAAATTGAGAAGAAAAGAACAAAATTTTTTCATAATTATGTGTGTGTCTAGGTCTTCATAATTAATATAAAATTTTGTTATACATTTATTGTGATATATGATAAATATAACTATTTTATTGAATAATATTTATACTGAATAAGATTTTATTATAAAAAACAAGTGCAGTTCACAGAATACAACCGTTATCGATATATCGATTTTGAGCGACTTTCGATTAATCGAGTAATCGAGAAAGAATACCATTATTACCAATCATCTTTCGCCCAAGTTACAGTAGAGGTGTCAGATTTATAAGCGGCATTTACTCAATATAAGTGATAACTATTTTAACAATATAAAACTTTCCACAAAATGGTAAGTGGATAAATTTCTTTTTACTTGATATTGCATTAATTCAGTTTTGAAACCGTACGCATGTTTTGAATACTCATTGTTCATAGGTTATGTAGGAAATGCATTGTCATCAAGACTATTTATTATAATTTAAAAATATTAATAAAATACTAATAAGTTATGTTTGCCATCACTACACATGTTTAATTCACAATATATTTAAATAAAGTAAATATATGTAATTCAAAAATTTTAAGAGTTTTGATAAATATGAGCAAATACACTTACTTTTTCTCTCTCTCTCTCCAGTTCAATTTAAAATCTTTGAAAGAATTGTAATATTGTATACTTCATAATATTATTGAATTCATATTCACGTTTATATTTTTATTTATAATAGAATGAAAATAAAATCTATAGAAATTTTGACTATCTATCACAGTAAAGATCTATCACAGTTAATTTAATATCTGTCAGTAGAAATATGATGTATTAATTATTTGTTTTATGTCTACAGGCACGTAGATATGATACACGTACTACGATTTTCTCACCGGAGGGTAGACTTTATCAAGTCGAATATGCTATGGAAGCTATCAGTCATGCTGGTACCTGTCTAGGTATATTAGCAAACGATGGTATTCTATTGGCAGCTGAGAAAAGAAACACCAATAAGTTGTTGGACGAAGTATTCTTCTCAGAAAAGATCTACAAGTTGAATGATGATATAGTTTGCTCAGTGGCTGGCATCACTTCAGATGCTAATGTCTTAACAAACGAATTACGTCTCATTGCGCAAAGATATCTTCTTCAGTATGGCGAGGATATACCCTGTGAACAGCTTGTTTCATGGTTATGCGATGTTAAACAGGCATATACCCAGTACGGTGGAAAAAGACCTTTTGGTGTGTCCATTTTATACATGGGATGGGACAAGCATTACGGCTACCAGTTGTATCAGTCAGATCCAAGTGGAAATTATGGTGGTTGGAAGGCAACGTGTATTGGGAATAATTCAGCAGCAGCTGTGTCGTCTCTGAAGCAGGAATATAAAGAGGGTGAGACCACTTTGAAAGACGCGATGGCGCTCGCCATCAAAGTGCTCTCTAAAACGTTGGATATGAACAAGCTCTCTGCTGAGAAGGGTAAGTTTTTGTTTAAGTGTAATACAATCAATTTTAAGTCGTTAGAATTATAAACTTAATTTTTAATAATATTCTAGTTTACAACAATATTATTAATGAATGTTTTGTTTGTTTACAGTGGAAATGGCAATGTTAACACGTGAGAATGGCAAAACAAAAACAAGAATACTAACAGCGACTGAAGTCAATGCCTTAATCGCGGAACATGATCGGCTAGAAGCACTGGCAGAGCAAGCAAAGAAAGAAAAGCAGAAGGCGTAGAATGTTATATTAGATAAGGATAAATCAAGAAATATGCCGTGACAAAGTTTACTATATCAAGAAGAAAATGATTTCACAATTAAAATCTTTTATATTGTGTACTATAAATTATTTCCTTGCCGCAATGTTAATTCTTACTAATATTAGCATTATCATAATTACTATTATTATAAGACAACAATTCCAAGGAATTAAAAAATTTTCCACAAATATGTACTGCATATTGTGCATTTTTCTCTTTGCAGTTTTCCTTAGTTTCATTTTGCATCAATACAAAATAACTTTACACAATAATTGCCTAACTTTTTGTACCTTACTTTCTACCTTCTTTTTACTATTGATTTTTTATAATAAAATTTATTGAAATAATGTATTAATACAGTATTTGAAAAACAGTATTAAGCAATATTCATTATAACTCATTGTCAAAAAATAAAACTTCAAGTTTATCCCCACTCAAGTCGATGTTGATTTAAAAAAAAGTGTCAAAAGTATCACGGAAAAAATCCAAATCCTTTTGAAAATGCATGAGAAGCATATAAAGATTAGTGGAAAATTAAAAAAAAAAGTGCAAAAGTTATGTGTCGGATCATATTAACCAGGCTGCCAATACGGTCCCACTCCCGGGCGCGATCCCACTACTGCCCGCCACGGAGACTTTTGGCTGCTGGGTTTCCCCTCTGGCCCGGTTCGCCTCTCCTTAGCTAACCTGGTCACCCGGGACTCCTCCCGGGTACCCATATTGATGGCGGGCTTAGTGCGGACGCCCAGTCAACGTGAGACCTGCACCAGCAGGAGCCCCCGACCTCAGACCCTCCAACATAACCAGCCTCCGAGTAGCCGGATTACAGGAGCCGCCACACTCCCAGCTGACAGAATATGTGCTATCCGAGTAGATAAGCTTCTTGAGAAGTCAATTCAATTTGAAATTTACCTTGCATAGAACTGCTCTCACAATGGCAATTCTTAATTGAGGCTAAATTAAGGCCAATTTTGCGCTGGAGTCGATTTTATTAACAAAATATACGAAAACATATAATATTACGCGTATGTGCCGATAATGGCGCCATCTAATGCATCTCGTTGAAAGTAATTTATGTAGTCAAGATGCGAACCAAAGGAATTTCCGGTAAAGTCAGTAAATGATTGTATGATATGATTATCATATGGGATGCTTCAAGAGCATTGACACTACCGAGCATCCCGTTTTATCTTTGTACGTAGTTCTGATGATTGTCTACAGGGAATGTGAGGAAATACCGAAAGAGGTTAGGTTAGGGAGGAGGTGTATACTGGTGTGAACCATGTCGAATTATTTGTGACAAGTGAAGGAATTTGATGAGAACGTAACATGACAAAAGCATATAATTCGTATTGTTGATAATAATAAGATACTCTCTCGCAGTCAACAATCTTTCACAATGGCTGATAATAACTTAGCGAAGGTTTTCGCAAACGAGGACTTTAACCCGGAAAAATGTAAGTTATTGCAAATACTTATTTGTTTATTGTTAAAGATTACAAATACTCGCAATTTTTTAATAAGTTATTAAAAGTTATTAAAATATTCGACAGCATTATTTAATTGTACTATATTTTCAGTCATGAGATACTTGTCACAAGATATTCAGGATCTATATTGTATAGGATCTATATTGATTTCCAATGCAATATGTTGTATAAATATTTTATTCGCTAATAAAATTATTTTAAGATACTAGATATCAAAGAAACATATAAAAAACAGGAGATTAGTTAATCTAATTTGATTTTTTTACTTACAGTTGTCAAGGAACTCAGTGCACAGTGTGTGGGTGCCGATGAATTACGGCAACAGCGTGCAAGAATACAAGAATTAGCAAACAATACGTCTGCTCAATTGAAACGAAATGTTTACCAAAACTATATGCAGTTTATCGAGACTGCTAAGGAGATCTCGCATCTGGAAAGTGAGATGTATCAATTGTCTCAACTTTTAAGCGAACAGCGGGCCTTGTTGAGCACACTAGGATCCACCAGAACAGCGGGTGTTGTTTTCGAAGAGTTGTCTGAGTCTCAGCAAGAAAACTCCACTAATTCTGTATCCAAGGAAGAGGAACAGAAGCAGAAACTCATTCAGCTAATTGAAAATGTAGAAGGCGCTCTGGTTGGTAATTTTATTTGAAAAATGAGATATTTATGGCCAATATAAAAAAATCATACGTTTCTATTCTTGCAGAGTTTAGCGGAGACTCCAGGACGCGTGTGTTTGCACGAAGGCTCTTTGCTTGAGTTAGATCCACTCGAAGGAACACCGTTAAAGAGGATTCACTCATATTTATTCAATGACGTTTTGATGGTCGCTTCCTGGCTGGCAAACGGTGGCAGGCGTGGTCCGCCTAGGTACAAAATGCAAGCAGTTTATAATTTAGAAAGTGTGGCGATCGTCAATGTGAGGGATCACGGCACTGTGAAATTGGCGTTTAAACTGCTAGCATTTTCCGACACGAGGGTATTCCAGTGCGCCACAGCGACAAGTAAAGTTAGTGTGTTCAAAAGCAATGGCCGTAAAACACGAAGAGAAATTATTTATCTTTATTTGTTTTGCAGAAAGAGTGGCTGGACAAATGTGAGCAAGCGAAAAGAGCGAAGCTGGCGGGAGAGAATTCGACTGACTCGCCGGATAACGATAAGCAGCTGAAGGAGGACAAAGTAGCACCGTCTCGTTCGATGTCTTTGGATTCGAACACGTTAGGTGAGTCCTTCAGCATTTTATGATACTCGTGCATAACGCACTTTCACCTGTTTTTGACTTGCATCCTTTTTCCTTTATTTTTTACTGAGCTTTTTCAATTATGTAAATCGATTACCATTAGGAATGGAGGACGATGATGATTCGGAGTATCACGAACCGCCGCCGGAATGGGTGCTAGAAGTAGCCGAGGATCTGGATTCCTGCATAGCGCAACGCCACTTTGAGGAGGCTTACAGCTTACTGGAGAAAGCGAAGGCTTATCTAAAGGACGCTCAACCGACACCGCTACTGACGGAGATCCAATCGAAGGTGAACGAGAGAGGTCGGTCGCTGGTCAACGTGCTGACCAAGGAACTGGAGTTGAGCGCGGAAGCGAAGTCGCTGCAAGGCGGCGGTTTGAGGAGTGCGCGACGCGCGGTCAAGCTTCTGATACAGCTGAATAGGAGCGCGCAAGCGTGCCATTTGTATCTACGATTGTGCAGCGCGGTGCTGAAAGCGCGATTGAAGAGGATCAAGAAAGAGGGCACAACCGTTGCTTACGTGAAGCAGCTCAGCGCGATCGCCTTTAGCAATATAGTGGAAATAGCGAGGGAATTCCTGAAAACCTTCCCCCAATCTACAAATTGCACTTCCGGTAAGCTGTCGAATGAAGGGTACAAAGTATTCCACGTTTTTAAGCAGAAGTTTAATTTATAATTTGCTTGTTATTCAAGGCTTAGTTGTATGGTGCAGCCAGGAAGTGAAACACTTGACGTCACACTTGGCTCAGCAGCTCTTTGTACCGCAAGTTACGCTAAGTACACTGGTAGAATGCATCGTTGCTGTTCGTAGTCACTGTGATCAGGTTGTGCAGACACTCCTAACAATATTCCCGTATCTTGGAAAGCTATAGATATATCAAGCACATTTTTATCACACGCGTTTATCCCTCGTATATTCATAATCATTTTGTTTTCAGTTAACTCAACTTGGCATGGACTTTCGTTATCAATTAGACGGACAACTCAGATCCCCGTTAGCTAAAGCGATTCAAGACGCGGGAGAGAACTGCGCCGGCACGGTGAAACGCCATGTGGCGGAAGACACATGGCGACCGACTAATCTGGAAACTAGTCAGAATCTACAGAAGTTATTATCCGAGCTCGATGATTTCGGCATCGGCTTACCACCGTCATACGCGACGAACGACTGTTGGGTGCCGCTGACATTTAATACATTAACTTTCTCCAAGATCTATGTCAGTCTGTTAGAAGATTGCCTTAGCGTAGCCACGCCCGAGCTTATGTCTACAATTGATAGCGTACTTGTGTCCGTGATGCGGGTCGAAGTTCAACATTTGATTGTCTCGCTTACAGATCCGAAGTTGAAGCAAGAGGTAACAAGCTCATTACTGATTTAAAATATGATCGAACCGCTCGTTTTAGAAAAGGCTTTAAAAATATTAAGAATTTCAAAAGATTTCTTTCTGAAAATGATTGTATTTTGTAATGAGATTCGTTTTATTCTTTCAGCGAAAATTAGTACAAAATAACGCAGCCTACGTGCGAGACGTTATTATCGCCCGGGGGCTGGAACTGTACAAATCCACAACAAATCAGAAGTTCACGAAGCTGCTTGTTCTAAAAGAGCAGATCGTATTCGAATCTCTATCGCCTACAAAGCCGAGACCAGCGCCGAGAACTTCAGTTCCTAAATACTCCACCACGGAGTATCTTTAACTGAGATGAAGACGTCGTGTCGCTTGATTTGTAGGCGAGGAAAACTGTTACATGACAAATGCTTACGCGTGTGCATATGTTGTGCGAGATGATGTATTATATTTGTACATACAAGACCGAGAGTCTTCGGTGTAGTAAATACAACGTATTATAACGAAATGGAATAGAAGTGAACGGCAACACTTCTAACGCAGGTACACATTAATCGTAATGCCATCGTAGAACTTATCTGTACCTCGTAGGATACTTGAACAAACAAGTAAATCAAGAAATTTGATAAATCAGACTACCATGCGACTTCCGTAACGGTGCGTATAATAATGCAGTAATTTGTAGTAATGTTGTAACATACCTAATACGATGTATTATTTACAGTTAATTGGATATAGATAATTTATGTACGCCTATGATTATTTATATAATAGCACTATTTTGTACTGTTGTCGCTGCAAGCGCTAGTTTCGTTATTCATTTCCAATCTCCTCTTCTTAGCGCGTATGTCAGCCAAAGTTTGTTCTATACTTCTTTGGTCTTTCTTGTTTTCGCTAGGCACTATAAAGATTAAAAAAAAAAGAGATATTTTGATAGCATATATATGCGAGATTAATCATCTGACTTCGTGATTTTAAATAATTTTTACTGCAAATGCAAACTTATTTATTGCATATCTTTAGGTAAATATAATTGATGTAATGTATTGACTTTAAATAATTAATTTATAACAATAATTTTAATATCTAATATATATTATTTATCAAAATTATATTTATGAATTTAAAAATTTTTTTTTAAATCTATGATATAATTATTAAACAATTTCTGTTGTAATATAATTGTAAAAATTAGGTAATTTATTTTATATCTATGCTTGCACCTACCACATCCATAACTGCTGTTGGCTTCCGTTTTCCTAGCAGCTTCCAGTGCCGCTTCTTTGCCAATCAAATGTTGATATTTATCTTTATAGAAACTGTTTGGTACAAAATTTTCTTTTCGTTTCCTAGATTTTGCATCCTCTACTTCTTCTTTGGCTTTTCTTTCTCTCTCCTGCTTTAGTCTTTTTGCAACTTCTTCATTCCATTCTTCACCCTTCCGCAGTGTGTTCAATTGATCCTCTGAAGGCGCATGTTCTCTCTTAAAGATCATGATGTATCGATCGACACCTTCTTCACCAAATGAGTAAGCCCAAACGTTTGCTACTTCTGCTACATCATGTCTGAAATCCAAGATTTGTTACTATAAACAATGTTTTACAAATGCGTGTATATATATATTTTTAATGCAATCATAAAATATAGTTGCACCTACATAATGCTCCTGTGTATTTGATCCATAGCAGGAAATTTGTATTCTTTGGCATTGTCATCTTGTAGGAACTTATTAATCTTCTCCTCAACCTATGTACGAAGATGATATGTCGTCAGTTTTAATTAATCGATAAAAAAATATAAAGCGATAATAAAAGCTCTAACCTTCTGCCGGAAGACTTTTAACTTATCCGCTTCGATCTTCTGACGCTTCTGATATTCTTCCTGTTGTTCTGCATAATCGAAATGAATTCACATAAGCCAAAACACTCTTTCGACAAAACTGCTCGGTTTCATTCTTAAATAAAATTTTTTTTAATCTAAACATTTTTAGGTTATGACTCAACTGACTTTTCAGGAGCGCCTTCTGCTTCTCGTTCATTGTGGGCGGTTTGTCCATGGATTTCAGAATGGATCCTAATAAATCCATGTTGATCTCGATGGGTCGTTCAGTCTTGTCAATTCCAATAAAAAGAGATCGTCGCAATTATACGCGACACTCAAAAATTCATATAAATTGTCAGATACTGCAGAACACGGAAGCCATGTTATAAATATGTAGGTGCATTCATAGTTAAAGGCCGATTAATTAGTCTTTATGTTTTATGAAACTAGCATAAATATACAACAAAATGATTGGCTACAGCATCATTAGGGTATATTCAAACAAATTTACACAATGCATATCGTAAAAAAAATCCACCAATGATATATCTAATACAAATTTGTACGATTGGTCAATTTTTGGACCTGTTAGTGCCGCGCATTATTGCATCTCATGTGCATTGGCAATAAGAGAGTTCATTCATTACCAACTTTGCGCGGCACATTCGACATATACGCAGCGCTAGAGACATTTCTTCGATTATATGTAATAGACTTAAAATTTAGAACATCATTTGTTGCGGTGAGGCAGATCGCAAAAGAATATTTTCTTTGCTTTGTATTCGCATTATATTCGAACATCGAGTTTCCGTTCCGCCGTGTCGCGGCACGCGGGCGGATCTCGCCGAGTGTGAACAGTCGATGTTTCGATTACGGTAGTTCCGGCCGAGAGTGCGGCAGCAGCGAGGCAGACCACGGGGGACGCACGCACGCACGCGGAGTGGCGGATCATACGCGCGTGTACGCGGTGTGTGTGTACGCGAGGAGTGTAGCGCTCAACAGAAATAACTATTTTTTAAACCCGTCCCGAGCCCGGTACCCGGTGTCGGATCAGCGCGCGGCATAAGTGTTGCGGCGTGCCTACCGTGTGTGTGTGTTGTAACCGAAAAAAAAAGAAACCCACAGGAACATTACCCCGTTTATAGCTGCGGGCCGGCTGTGTGTGTGCCGAAACAACTGATTAACATGGCGAACAGCATAGCACCAGACTCGTGGGAGCAGCAGGCGGACAGCAACGGCGACATCGTCGGCCCGCCGCCCGCGCAGGACAAGTCCATCGAGAGCAAGTTCTCCACCCTAAATGTCAACGCTGCGGAATTCGTGCCTTCCTTCTGCATCAACTCGTCGCCGCAGAGCAACACCGCGACGGCGGCCGACAGCAGCCCCTGCAATGTCGCCGCCGCGGTGATGAACACCGTAACCACCACCTCCATGCCCGTCGAGATACATCATGGTTAGTTCTTTTTTTCCCTTCCCAGCTGATCCTGCGCCACGGAAATGGGAGAATGTCCAGGACGCACTTGCGTGTCGCCCACGAGATCACCATTGTTGTGGTTCTCGTGTGCGCAGCTAACCCCTCATCGCTATATCGAGTCATCTCTGCTTCTTTGTGATATTAAAACATGGAAAAAATGCCCTTGTTTTGATGATACTGGTTATATTCTTATAAAGGTTAATTCCGCCAAGTGTCTTCGCCAAATTTATAAAATATCCAGACGTTGCATATTTAGATACCATATGGTTTGATTTACATAGTGAAAGATTTCTTATTTTGAGCTTGCAATACGTTACAATTGTTCTTTTGCGTTAATGCTATTTACTGCATATATAATTTGAGTGCCACGTGGTATTAAAATTAGATATGTATTTTTTACTGATTCAAAGTGTAGTAGAAATGAGAACCGATGAGGGAGATTATTGCTGCACCTTTTATCCTTATCGAGTATTTAACTTTAAATAATATATCTAAGTAATAAATAATATGTTGCATAATTTTTAATATGTGTACGATATGATCGATGGTTTATTTGGAAGGTGGAATCTTTTTGCTAACCTATAACTTTCAACGTTACAATATGGAAAAAGTGCCTAAGATTTTATGACAAGTATGATACTTTTTTTAAATGCAATTAGTAAAATAACTTGATAAAATTGATCAAATATTATATGAATATCCTTTGTTTATAATATTGGATGCAGGCAGAACTGATATATTCCATGTGTACAAATTCACTACTTACTTTGTGCTTCGTGACAACAACACGTTAACATGTTTCCTTTTGCTTTTGGTATCTTTCACTATGACTTTATGATAAAGAAATATCGCAATTTAATATTGATTTTTGTATTGCACTTATATAAATATTTTATAAAAGTTTAGAATTCATTATTTTCACCTGAATTTTATGTAGAGGTTAGAACATTTAATATCAAGAAAAAGGTTTTTACAAAATATATGTTAGATAACAGAATTTATAAATATGTACAACTTACTGAGACGGGATGTTTTATATAAAGTGATAAAATGTATATAGTATAATGTATATACATTTTATCATTTTATATCTTTGTGAATACTTGTTTTTAATGATTGAAACCATATGAATAACTTTGTTATTTTAATGTATTATCTTATCTATAAATATGTATTTTAATTTTATTTTATGTGTTATATTTAGTGTGAAGTATAAGATTCTGAATGTATTCTCCTTTGTAGGAAATTCTACTCCCGTTGTTCTATCAGATCCAATCGGCAGTCGAGTTGAGGAACCTCCTGCTGGGGGAGGGGCTCCACCGCCGAACGTCAACGACCAACTAAATACCAGCCCAGAGCACCAACCTGCAGATTCTTGGGAAGAAGCTGCAGTCGATGGTGACCCTTTACTTACTCCTGAAAATGAAGAAGTAAGTATAAATTTGTCAGACGTTTCAATATATATTGCTTTAGCGGAAGTATGTATTTGTGTATAGAGTGTTCTAGATTAATTAAATTTTTTTATTTGTCAATTTTTTGGATTTGAAACATCAATTTTGATTTAATTTTTCTTTAAATTTGATGAAATATTGTCTTTTTTTGCAATTTTTACAAATTTTCTTTAGTATAGCAATAGTTAGCTCAGTAATTTAATTAAAAAATTAATGTTTTATTAATATCTATCTAAAATTACATAAAAAATAAATTTCTATTACTTATTAGCAGCTCTAAAGTTTACTTTTCAGATTTCTTTATTTTCAATTGCTTTTAACCCAACACATCTATGGATATGTCAACATTAAAAAATATATTTAAAGGCAAATCAAAGAGAGAGCAATGTATCTTGAATACTCTATATATAAGATTTTTTGCTGGAAATATTTTGTTCTAATTACATGTTTTTCTTTAAGATTGCAAGAATAATTTTACGTAAGATTTTTATTTTATATTAGTTGATATTTCCTGCTTGACATTTACTGATCTTGATCAATAAATTAATAAATATTATGTTCTCAAATATATTTATATCAGTTATTACATCATTATACTTGGTAATTCTAGGCTGACAATGATGAGGATGAGGAACTGGTTGTTAAAGTACCTAAAAAGAAACCTGTCAAAGTAGCAGAAGATACCAAAAGCAAAAAGGAACATGTTAACGTTGTTTTCATAGGGCACGTGGGTAAGTAATAAATGTGCACACGTAGAATGTAAATACGAAGGTGATAGAATAATTATCTAATGCTTACAGAATTATTTAATACAATTATCAATTGTTAAATTATGTTATATCTTTTGTACTGCAGACGCCGGAAAGTCAACCATTGGAGGTCAAATTATGGCGCTCACGGGGATGGTCGACAAACGTACTCTAGAAAAATACGAACGAGAGGCGAAAGAAAGAAGTCGAGAAACATGGTACTTAAGTTGGGCGTTGGATACAAATCAGGAAGAAAGAGAGAAAGGGAAAACAGTGGAAGTAGGTAGAGCATATTTCGAGACGGAGCGGAAGCATTTCACAATATTAGATGCACCCGGCCATAAAAGCTTCGTACCGAATATGATTGGCGGCGCGGCGCAAGCCGATCTAGCAGTTCTTGTTATTTCTGCGAGAAAAGGCGAGTTCGAAACGGGCTTCGACAGAGGGGGTCAAACGAGAGAGCACGCTATGCTTGCTAAAACCGCGGGTGTCAAGCATCTGGTTGTGTTAGTGAATAAGATGGACGATCCTACTGTCGAATGGGACGAAGGACGGTACAATGAATGCAGGTACGCGCGAGATCGAGAATATGATTAAAAAGAATTTGTTTGAAAGAAAAAAAAATTAAGATAGAAATAAAATTGTATACAGGGAAAGTTGTATATTAAGTATCAAGGTCACTTTTCTTTTATTTTTAAGTAAAGCTTACATCTTTTTTATATTCACATTCTGATAATATTATGCGAACGTTTTATGTATATACGGAAATTAAGGATATGCTCATGTATCTTGCAGGGATAAGATACTGCCATATCTTCGTAAATTAGGATTCAATCCTGCGAAAGATCTTACGTTCATGCCGGTTTCTGGTCAGCTCGGTATTGGCCTAAAGGATCCAATACCCGAACATCTCTGTAATTGGTATAGTGGCCCACCCTTCATACCTTTTATCGATTCACTACCGTCGCTCAATCGTAAGAGTAATGGGCCCTTTATTATGCCGATTGTCGACAAATACAAGGACATGGGGACAGTAGTTATGGGCAAAGTTGAAGCGGGAGAAGCCAAAAAAGGACAGTCGTTGCTCGTTATGCCAAATAGGGTATGTATATCGCTTTTATTTGTACAAGTATATGATTTACACGTCAATTCAAATTATGTTAGATTAGTGTGAAATATTTATTGTTTTCCATTAAGTTCTATTTTAAACAAAGATAAGAATTCGACATTCTTTAAAAAAGATTTAAAATTAAAAATAAGGATTAAAAAGTTTTTTGAATGAAGAGCCGCTACTGAAGAGCCAACAGCGATACATATATATTATTTCAATAAATAATAATTGCTTTTAAACTGTAATTTTGTATTTAACTTTATTTGATAAATCAACAAACTAATTTAATGCAGAAAAATCTATACATATATTTTTAATAATTTTGGAAAATTTTTGGATGTTTTATATTTTATAATGCATAATTTCACGCATTATAATTGTTTAATATATTTAAAATATATTTAAAATACGTAGACGGCGGTGACGGTGGATCAGCTGTGGTCGGATGATGAGGAAGTGACGTCTGTGGGACCTGGAGAAAATGTGAAAATCAAGCTGAAGGGTATTGAGGAGGAGGACGTTAGCCCCGGATTTGTTTTATGCGATAGCAACAATCCTATCAAGACTGGGAAGGTCTTCGACGCGCAGGTCGTGATCTTAGAACACAAAAGTATCATTTGTGCGGGATACAGTGCTGTTATGCATATCCATTGCGCCGCGGAGGAAGTCACAGTTAAGGCGCTGATTTGTTTGGTGGACAAGAAGACGGGCGATAAAAGTAAAACGAGGCCAAGGTTCGTTAAGCAGGATCAGGTGGCTATAATGAGAATCGAGTGCGCGGGAGTTATATGTCTTGAAAGATTCAAATTATTCCAACAAATGGGTCGCTTCACTCTTAGGGATGAAAGTAAGTACGGCGACGGTAATTTTCTTAGTGCTTTTTCTCTCGATACTTCCGACACTTTGTACTTCTTGCTTACGCATTGCGATAACATTTATATTTAATTTCAGATAAAACTATCGCAATTGGCAAGGTGCTGAAGGTCGTCGAATAAGAAACTTGCTTAAGTGTTATGACAGATTACTAATTAAAAAAAAATGATCATTATTTCAATGTGACAAATATATGACGATGCAAGGCGAGCACACGATATTAAGCAAACCAAACGGGCATGATGAAATTCCAGCGGATTAGTAATAATGTAATATATAACACAACTCACCTACGCAGAGCTATACATACAATACGTGTTGCGACACAACGGGGCAGGGGTGGGGTGGGGGGAGAAGGGAAAAAAATATTTATAGCCTGATATAAAAGCAAATAGATTCGATTATATAGCTAAGGAGACATACACAATCGAAAATTCAAGAGCGTGTGTTCCTCTTATTAGATAAGCTGAATGATGGCACTTGCATTGGAATAATTATAAAAAAACGGATAATGATCAAATATTAACCGTGTCTCCTTGATAATAAAAAAAAAAACACGATATTTTTATTCTTCTGAGGTGCGACACATAAATGGAAGTAAAGTAGGCGATTGATATCGATTGCGGAATAACATTAAGGAAATATATGATTAATATTATAATAATTATTATTAATTATTATTAAAGTGGTGGTAAGAGTTGGAAAAGAAATTTATTGAATAAATCAACAAGATAGTGTTACACAACAATTTATAATTATAAAATTAATATTATTACAATTATTATTATACTGTTTCTTATTATATTGTCATTAAAAACAAATTTGCAAAAAAATGTGCCCTGATAATTTTAATAGGGACATGGATGTGTAGCGCGTACATCCTTGGCAAGTATGACAGATTTCCTACATTCGAGCCATCAGAATAAACAAATTATAGTGCACAGGCTTTGCAAATATTCAAAGCACGCGAATGCTTTTTCGCGTTTATCTTCAATATTTTTTCTTGTTCCAAGGAAAGTACATTGTTTTTAATTTATTAAAACTTCTAATTCTCCACTGCAGATATTGGATTCGGATGTGAACAGATATCAAGAACTACAAAAATTAATAGATACAAAAGAAAAAACAATGTAATATTCACATGCATTTAGCAATAATTTTTTAAGGAAATGTTTCTGAAGATTTGTTGGCATCTTCTTTACTAGAAATCCTAAATCAGTATCCTTTCATCTGGTTATGTCTTTTCTTTTGCATATAAAAATACATGCATGCAAAACAATTTTTTTTATTTAAATAATTTTCAAAACTTTAGAAACTCTTTAAAAATCAGATTTTACATTATTTTCTACATTATTAGATAATTTTTTTAGATTTATTAAGATTATGTCCACATATAAGATGATTGTGTTAGAAATTCTATTATTTGAATATGTAATAACAGATCTACTATTATCACTTTTGATTTTAAGACCTTCCCAAATATTTACGAATATATATACAAAATAACCATACATAACAAAAAAATTTAAATGCTTATAAATTTACAAAATAGAAAGTTGTTTAAGTTTTTAAATTGCTATACAATTTCAATTTCGCGCTTAAAACTCTTTCTTACTACTGAAGTCATTAGAGTATATTCAGACAAACTTACATATGCTTATGCAGATATAAGCCG